AGAGTCCACATCGTCCTCAATCCCTGCGCGGCCGTTGGCCTTCCGCTGCATGTAGCCGGCATTAAGGGTGTTTTCGCTAACTTTGCTCCTCGGCGATGGGGAGTAGACCTGTCGTGCGGAGCGAGAGCGGACGGATTCGGGCTGCCTTCTGTACTCGTCGGGATCCACCATCGAGCGAGGAGGACTGTTGGTGGGTTGTTCTCCTTCCCGGCTCATGCCTTCGAGGAAGCTGAGAACTAAGGAAGAATTGAGGCCAGTTTTGGTGGCGTGAGGGAAAAGAAGGCTATACCTTTCTCGTTGGACGCTGTGGTTCCCTGTGTTAGTGTGCTGCGCGTCCAAATAACACCAAAAGAACGCACCTGGCGTCGCAGAACGAAGTTGTATGCTCGCAAACACACCATCTCCGAGGTTTGACATAGAAGCTGCAATGTGTGGGGTGGTAAGAATTCAAGGTGTCGCTAGTGGGTAATTTGGGTTCGTGAAAATATTGAAAAGTCGTTAGTGAGAACGAGCGCGTTTCCGTGGGTTTAGGAGGGAGATACGGTGTGGAGGTATAAGAAGAGGATATCGCAGAGAAAGTTAACAAGGGTAAGTACTCCAGGTTGGAGAGCGCTCTTGGTCTCCACAAGCGATCACGACAATTCGAACAGTGTACAAATAGCCTCAAAGTCCGTCACAACAACGCATAAACTCCCGAATCAAACAATGATCAGCCTGATCCGAGCTTTGATTAACGTCTTCGACCTCATTGAAGGAGATAATGAAGTGGAAGCGATGGGAAGCATGCTCGAGCAGCTGCCCATAGATAGACGGAAGCCTTGTAGGTCCAAAGCTTTTTTGGTAGAAAATATTCCGGCCTTGGCCAACGGAACGATCGAGGTGAAACATTCCATACGGAAGCAAAAATGGCCTTTCAAGGTCATGCACGGAGTAGTAGGTTGCACCCATAATCTAACAGTGTCTATTTCGTCAAGTAAGAACGTGTATGGATACAGTGGGCAAAACATATGCATGTTGCTACAATTCAATATAGCCGGGATGAATGACATCAAGAGCGCAGACAAGAAAGCACCAGCGCGTCGCAGGGATGAAAGGCTGAGGGAGGTGTGAAAGCCAGGTCACCAGCTTGAGGCGCCCAAGGAGCCCTGTAAATAAGATAATGGAGTAAATAGAAGCGGTTCCACCTTCAAAGCTTGACAACAAATCGCTCAATGGACCCTGCGACCCCTGGAGTGTTTGTGTTCGCGGACGAGGCTGGAAAGACTATGGCGCCGGTGGAATCGATCTCTGCCTCGAGCGCACTGCGGCACATTGGTTCCAAGAGCCGTAGCCGTGGCTGGCATCGCGGAAGACATCGTCTTCGTGGCAGCAATCTGGTTAGCGGTTGGCTGAGGTGTCGGTTGCGTGGGGACAGGGGCTATAACCTTGGACGTGGAAGCTGCCCCAGAAGCGCCGTCACAAAATGTAATGAGTAAATTGGCCTGATGGAATAGTAGTTGAGGCAGAGGGTTTTCATAATTAAGGGGAAAATAAAACGAACGTCGTTCTCCTGGCACTGAACTTGAACGTGGTTGTCGTCCGGAACAAAGAATGCAGTTGGACATTTCGCGGAAGAACCTACGGGCTCCGGGATGTCAGGTCAGTCGCGATCGACTTAATGTGAGTCAGTAAACGCATACACGTAGCTCCTTGTCCGTCGCAGCCTCCATAATAGCTACAAAAAGGGTGAAATCAGTTGTGAACCCCCAGCATTGTACTCCCCACCTGAATGTTGTTGGAACCGAGAACCCAAGCCTACCATTGAACATCTCATTAGAGTCTTTGCTCTGGAGGATAATCACAGAAATGTTACTGACGGAGGAATGAGCGAAATGTCCGCGCTTGATCCACACCCAGGGCACGCGGGATTGGCTAACGACATCTCAACTAAGGTGCATCCTTCGCCATTCAGTAAGCAGTTTCCTGTAGTTTTGTTTGTTCGGACTTTCGAGCAGTTTCTCGACTGGACGAACCTGTTTGCAGATATCTGAGTCATAAAATGGGATAAAGTCCTTTGAGTTTGAGAGACGAGCGAGAAGGACGAACGCAACGCCAGCCCAGAAAGGTCCATTCGAAGTGAATGGCTCTCCACGCGACAAGATAATTCCCTTCTGGATCAGTTGAGGCTGCATAACTGACCTTGTTAACCCCGCCCAAACTACTGTGTCGGAACGCTTACAGTTCCATATCCGCACCTACGGTATACTCAGTCAGCAAATGGACTAACGGAACAGACGCAAAATCGATTAAGTCACCTGTTATCAAACCTGATAGTATGTTTCTCCGCGAACACGCTGAAGGCAGAAAGAACGAGCGAGACGTAAAGAGCGGCGGGGAATGAAGGCAACATGACAGGAGGACGACACGCCACCGACTGAGCATGAAGGAAACAGCCAAGAGACGTGCTGGAGCAAGCACAAGGACAGGCCTCATGTGTGAAAAATACAAGTCAGGCACGTCGACAGTTCCAAAGTCCGAAAGGCCAATTAAAGGATTGGGCGCTCAAATTAGTGAAATTACTCGTCGAGAAGATTGTATCGCGGGGAAGCGTTGGACCTTGGGGGAGGCTTCAATGAAGGCTCAATAAATCAAAATGAAATGGAAGCAGCATTGACGCTGTTCAATCAACCTCACATTTGTGAATAATTGTCTCGTCAAATGCAAATATCATTAGTCCATTCCTATGAGTATTGGGGTATAGTTCCGTATCGATAGTCCTCGAGAGTTCGTAAAGAATGTCTGCAAGCGTTCAATATTAAGGAAAGGTGGAGGTCTAACAGCTCAAGCCACGCAAAAGCGATTACTGGTTGATGCCACGTCTACGGATAGTCGTTAGGTTTGCCACCGCCGTGCGCAGAAAACGGAGACTTACTTATGCCGAAGTAGGTCTTGTGAGCTTCGTTGATAAAAATTATGGAGGGGCCTAGAAAGTAGCAGGGCTGTGGGAACCGTTGCGAGTAAAAGGGGAAACAAGACGGACGTTCGGAACGGCTGCAAGTAGAGTCTTCGCCTCCAACACATTTCTTCATGTTGGCAGGCGTAGCTGGAGAAATGCAAAAATAAGTTCACAGCCATGAAATTCATACGGAGATTGGAACTTTACCTGGGTCCTTGAAGTTCCAATATTCCGTGCCACTGAGAGATATCAATTTAGCCAGCCGACATCCTAATAATAAACCCCACTCACAAATGACGATAGCCCGTCAGCCTGACTAGGATGAGTGACACGCCATCTACGCAGAGTGAGGGCTTGGCCAACGAGAAGACTGGGGTACTTACCATTCGTGTGCACAACTCGGAAGATGTTGTTGACACCGAGCTTCCTCTCGACGTACGCCGCAAAGTCGCCATTACCAACTTTCGGCTGACCTATTGCGTATTGCGCATTGCGGGACCGAGGTTATCAAACAACGATGAGGGCAGAATCGGCACCAGGCAACCAACCAACACCCACCGTACGTGTAGAGTTTGACTTTGGCATTGGGCAGTGCTGACTTTATCACGATGGCGGCGAAAGTCGCCACGGCACCACCCAGCGAGTGGCCGGTGACAACGACTGTGCAGGTTGGGCGTGCAGCAACTTGAGCTTTTATAGCTTTGAGGACGTCCGCGGCCACGACGTTGTAGGCCGACATGAACCCAGTGTGGGCTGTCGCTCCACCGATGTCGGTGAGGCCAGACACTTTAGATAAAGATTTGCGGATGATGAGGGCGTCTGTAAATCAAGAGAGGTCATCGCACATAGACCAGTAGGTAATTGTCACACAAACGCACCTTTAATGCCGTCAAGCACGCTCTGAGTACCGCGGAAGGCAAGAACGATCTCTTTTCGAGCATCGTCGCGCGCTATCAACGCCTGGGTTCCGCCTTTCGAGAACTGACAACATACAAACTTGTCAACAAAACCATTGCAGCTTTGCAGCCGGAGGGACACTTACCTCTTGCACCAAAGTGTTAGAGAGAGGTCTGACACAATTGTTCTGGTACGCCGCTGAGGAGTACTTCGTGTATCGCACAAGGTCATCAAAGGTCGACTGGTCAATTCCCGTGATAGCCCTTGGTAGGGGCTCGAGGAGTACCGATATCGGAAAGGCAGCGACTTTCAACCAGTTGAAAGCCACCACAGAGTAAAGAACGTAGTAAAAGGAGTGCATGACGAGAAAAGCCTTGATGACCTGCAAAGGCTAGGACCAAAGACTCATTGCCATCCTTTTATACGGGGTATTGCCTTGTCCTGATCCAAATCATGGAGGGATGATGGTGAAGATCGTTTGCATGTCTGACAGTCATGAACCGCAAGGGAGCCGATCATGCGACCAGGTTGAGCGACAGGACGAGCGTCAATGTGTCAGAACTCTTCTCGAACAGCCGTTCTAAAGACCCTGGGTCTGTTCTCCCCGTTCGCAAGGCATCGAGCTTATTCCAACTGGAGAGTCAATCACTCCACTCCGGCTAGCCAGCAGGAGTCTACGATAAGCCCCTCGGGTTCACGGAATGCTTGTAAGTCCACCAAATGGCGATTCTGAGATGAAATAGCACCTCATCTCTAATATGTCCTTCACGGCATGTCATGAGAATGATCGCTAACAATATTAATCAGTGACCGAGGTAGGGTTCGACGAGAGTCTTGCTGGACGCCGAAGGTCAGATCGCAACCTCTTCCGCGTGGCCACTGGGCGTGATGATTTGTTGGGCAGATTGTTGAGAGAAGGGGTGATGAATGTCAATGAGATGCAGTGTCTCGCATCAGGCACTTGGCACGTCTCAAGGGTGAATGGGGAATGAGTACGAGAGTTCGAAGCATCACACAAAAGGGAGGGCGCATTTGGCTGTAAAGCAGTGTTCTTAGGGCTGGGAGTGGTTTATCTATATCCCAAGAGGAAATGCTCCGATAAATGAAAGCTGCGAGATAGGTCAAGATTGAGAAGGTCAGCAAGATGTTATGACATACTCTGGGCCTTTACTACCTGAAGATCGAGGTAAAACTCCGGGATTAGGCCTGATGACTAGACGTGTCCATTTGCCTGCAAATCCGAAAGGGGGGGTCGCCATTGGTAAAAACGCCAAGTCGAGATGTCCAGAGCATGTTATCATCTTGAGACGCCCGGAAAAGAAGCGAAGTTGGCGATATCGGCGACATCGTGGTGTTGCTGATTCACAGGTTGCTGAGGATGCTTGCCACGTCGTTAACGGAAAGCGTCTTTTCCGTGGTTCTTTGGGGATGAGGATGAGGATGAGGATGGGTTTGTGAAATCCCATGAATCTACAAGTTTCCGCGACCTCAGTCGTAGTACAGTTTACTATGGGGAGAGTACGCACCGCTTGGAGCCCCGACGCCTGTCGATCCAGCACTTGCCGCAAATTGTCGTTCTTCGACTTGACGGAGGCCATGTTTTTCTTCTTCAATGACTTCTTCGCTGCTGCTAGCTTCTTCCCTGTGTTCGCGGACGTTTTGGGGCGCTTTTGATGAGTCATTACAGGGTGCTAGGCCCAGAGAGATGCTGAAGGCAGCCCGGTTGGAGGGAGGCAAGGTCGAAGAGGAAGACCGTCTAATCTTGAAGCTCGAATTCCCAACATGAAATTGATTTTCCCACATGTTACATCTGGATAGGGGCTTCTTCCAAAACCCTCGCAGGCCGATCCAAAGTCTGCCTGACTAAACGTGCCCGTACACAAATCAAGCGTTCAAAATCCATTCTTATAAGATATTGCAATTACAAGGACGCCCCATCTACTATAAGACCCGAAGAATGTCCTTACTTCGGCGGGATGTTGGACGTCCAAGGATACGCCGTCGGAATCGCTTGCCAAGGGGTCATGTCCGTGTAGGTCCTCGTCGTAGGCGTTCCCTTTAATATTTTCAAAACGAAGGGCAGGACGTTCGTGCTGGTCCTCGGTCAGTGGAATGTCAAATTGGAAAAGGCATGTCACTTACTAGCCCGACATGTCGCAGTGCCCGCCGCTTCTCATGGCGAGACCAATATTGGGCCCAACACCGAGCCAATCGTATACGGCCTGGGCGGCAGGGAAGATTACCGTTGCAGTTCCCCTACTGTTGACGAACGGGTCGCTGGAGCCTTGGTCAATGACTAGCGCTCGAGGCGCAATGGCAGCTGCGATGACATGCGCGTCGAACGGCACCCTGTTGCTCTGGTTGATGAACGTGCCGAGAGCGCTATTCGACCACCACGGCGCGCCTTGCTTGCTGTTCTCGAGATTCTCACCCTGGCCAGAGAGGGTAGAGTAGCGGTAGGGTCCGAGGCCCTGAACGCCGGACGACATGGGCATCGTGAGCGTGATACGAGTGTCAAAAAGACCAGCAGCGAGGGCTGCTTTACCCAGTCGGGAACATCCAGTGACACCGACAAGCGTGCTGTCTATCTCGGGTGCGGTAAAGATGAGAGCATCGAGGACTCGGTGGAAGCCCCATGCCCAGGCGACAAGAGTACCTTAAGGAAGCAGACACATCAATGGACGTGAACTCGAAATGCGGGCATGAGCAAACCTATGTCCCTTCGTTATACAGCGCCCAGAAGGCGCCTGTCTTGCTGTTACTGTCCGGAGCCACGCTCGTGTAGTCGAAGGTGACCACTGCTATCCCATTATTCAAGTAGACATTGTTGTCGATGCCTCCGATCGCAATGATAACGGGAACAGGAGTCGTCGGGAGAGGTCTAGGAAGATTGATCTGGGCCGAGAATGTACCCCTCCTTCCTCCTGCAGTGACGGAAATAGAGACAGAATTTCCCGACCTCGTCGCGGTAACCGTCTCTTGAGAATGGTCGGGATAAAAGCCGTATTGATACTGCTGAAGCATTTGAACAATCTGGGGCTGCCAACAGGCATACCACTCTGCATTGGATGCGACGCGAGCTGTGCTCGGATACAGGTAATTGAACGGATCGGGGAGGGTAGAAACGAGGGGGAACGATGACGCAGTAGGCCAGGCTGTTGGGGTCGGTGGTGTTGGGCATGTTACATTTTGAGCAAGGAGAGGGGCAGCGCAGCTCAAAAGAAACAGAGTGAAGAGTTCCAAGCGCATTTTGACTTGAACGTGGGTTTTGGCTTCCAGTAGTTCAAGAGACGCCTAGCTTAAATATCGATGCCATACTTGATCGTTCGGAGGAGAGTTGGGGAAAAGTCACAGCCAAGGATTCCAAAAGTATCTGAAAATAGTGGTCAATATGTCATATGAGAGCACATCTGCCATGAGCTCTGTTGGAATATATTGCCGCGAGAGAACTTCGGACCTGAGCAGCTATCGAGGAAGCGTTCCTTGAATCGGAATCCTATTTCAGAGTCTCGAAGCCTATTTCTGTGACTTCGACGGCATGAAGGATGTGCCGCGTGGCGAATATACGGGTCGTGTGTCCGCAGAGTTAGCTTGAAGAGCTTTCCTTCCCGAGTGGTACCAACGCAAGGAGCGTGTCAGTCACACTCGGAAGAGTCCAGAAATGTGACGTTACATTCGGGCCGTTGGCTCCGTGGTGAAGCCTCGGCAGGTGACTTCGCTCCTTGGCCTATCCCCCATTCTGAATGCCATGTCGCCGCCTGGTATCAACCGCAATACAAATCCTGACTAGAAACGTTCTACTTAGACCCGATATAAATCCTGCTTGGACCCTCAGCCGCCGCGCACTGGCAGTGCAAGTAGGTAACTCCAAGTACACGGGTAACACCAAAGGCTGAATGGTAGGGGAGGATTCAGGTAGGCTTCGAGTGGCGGTATGTTTCAACATCAACAGTGACCGAAAAACTCATCAAAATCGTTGACATACGTTCCCAGACCATCGGAGATCCTCTCTCTCGGCCCACTAAGAACAGTGTGCTTGCCGCCAGAAACCGAGGTAAACTCGGACCGTAAGAGGAATACACGGCAGCACTGTGTTAGCCTTCACTGGTCCTCGAGATTGGGTTCTGGTTCCTGCGGATGGGAGGCGCAGGCGAAAACTCGGATGGTCTGACGATGTCATTGATGAACTTTCAAATTTCAGAGGCCAACCTTGTACACCATAAGTTCTTCGAACACGCAGATATCGCGCTGGCTAGCCGCAAACCGTGTATGCACTTCTCCTACGTTCTCTTGGTTTGCCTTGGTTCTGTAAAACTGCGGCTCAGTCACTCGGACGATGACGATCTTACACGAAGAAGGAACATGGATCGACAGAGAGGGTGCATTTTTGGAGGTTGAATTTTTGGGTCGCCCTCCTCTCTAGCAATTAGAACGATGAGGGCCAGCCGTTCGCAAAGGCAGAATCATGTCGATTCCCAGCGTAGTGAACGGAAAAGACAGTCGCTATTCACACCTGCATTTCGGTGGAGGCTGGGAGGGCTTGGCCTGCTCATGGAAGATCGACGTCTGGCCGATGAAGGCGCTTACTCAAAGAAATGGTAACTTGGGTTCGCCTGCGGCGCCGACGAGTAGCCACTAAATTGGTCTGCTCCCATATACACATTTTTTCATGAAGATTATTTTTCTTAAATATTCAGATTGTCTTTGGGAAGACCTTAAAATTACATAGTGTGTATGCAGACCAAAGGCCGACGTCGGCCCCAACAGACGTCTCCAGACACCAGTCCACATGGTGGTAGAGACAAGGTCCATAAATGCACCCTTGTCGTCCTTTCTGCGCCGAAGCACGTCAAAAATAGATTGATACCTCTGATAATTAGTACACGTCAGAAATAAGCCTTGTTCTTCCCGATAGGACGCAGACATCTCTGGGAAAACTGGCTGTACTTCGCGCCAGTAGCCCATAAATCCTATCTTCGGTGAGAAACGGACAGCACCCGGTGGAGGTTGGAAGGCTCTTACAGGCTGCACAATTCCATCTGATTACGACCAGAAATAAGACTGGCATAATACACCTGCCAATCGCAGCCTGTCAATTGGCCTGAACTTCCATTGGTCGCATAGTACGGTCGCGGCTCGACTTGAAACACTTGCTCGTCTTATTGGTTGGAATTCTTCCTTATACCGTGTTGAGAAGTGGTATAAATTCCGTAGTGCTTGAATCCCTTTTCGCTAAGGTGTCCTCTTCTCATCCTCATAGTACTGTCTGGCTTATCCTGCCTTCAGAACTCCTTGCTATGTTGCTATTCTCCCCTTGAACGACGTATCACCCACTTGCTAGTAGCCTAGAAAATTGGAACTCGTCCCGACTGATTGAGCCAAAGTGAAGGTGTGTTTGATTCCTTGTCCTTGATCATATATCTCATGATGGATCGTATCACCTCTCAGGCGATTTGTCCAATATCCCTCTCACGATGGTCGTAGAGGGTGTAAGACCTACCAGCAAGGTTAAGCATGCCTGCAGAATTGCGGTTATCCAGCACCGCATAATTTAGGAGTCCAGCCACTGTTCTGTTGCACTGTGCACTACCGCGGACGTTCATAACTTCAAGTAAGTCATGGGCGTCTGTGGTATTGCCCGATGTAAAAGCAATGGCGGCGGGGCTTTCAGGTGTTGTGGTGCTCAATAGCAACGATCTCGCGGACTTGCTTGATCTTGCTCTGGTAGATCTCATCGACTCTGGGATTGTAGAGTTTATTTGAGTCCATCACCACTAACTGCGTCAAATTTCATCCTCATTGCGAGTTTCTTGTTGAACCGATGCTATGTTCCGCTGACTCGTTTCGTGGTTCAGTATTCAGTTCTCACCTTCCAGCAACAGAGACACATAGATATAAGAGCGTAGGTAAGTCAGTCAGCTTCGTATTGCATTAATTTTCCCTCGCATTCCCATTTGATTGCACTTGTAGTCGCTCACGAACTTGGGCGCTAATTGCGAATCGATTGGGCGCTTCCCGTGTGATCGGAGGTCGATGGGCCATCATATATGAAAATTGAGAGAATCTAAAGTTTCAAACGCGCGTCGTGGCTGTTTTGTCCGACTTGTAGCATCCCGCAGTTGCAGAACAACCGACAAACTGCCACACAAATTTTCGCCTATGTTTGTGTAGAAACTTCCGAGTCGAGTTTCAACCCAACACTATGTGTACGCAGTCTGAAAGGAGGGCCATTGGCATTCGAAAAGCATGACTTTTACCAAAATTGTTGAATTGCTGTTTATCCATCTATAAGTACCTCCCTGCGATCGAGTTGGGATCGTTTGCCGGGCCAAGACGGCTCTTTCTCGCAGCCAAGCACCGGCCCGGACGCAAGCTGTCACACACCTACTGTACCTTCAACCGTGACCGTGACTCAGACATCTTTCAACCTGCCTTCCACAACTCCAGTATAAAACACCTTTTTCACTCGTCCTGTCAGCGTGAAGGCTTGAGATGGCTGACATCCCAACGTTAAGCGTCACGATGCTTGGCGCAGGCCAAGAAGTTGGCCGCTCATGCTGCGTCCTTCAGTATCGTGGAAGAACGATTGTTTGTGATACGGGTGTGCATCCTGCGCACAGTGGGATGGCGTCCCTTCCGTTTATCGACGAATTAGACTGGAGCACTGTAGATGCCATACTTATTACGCAGTAAGCGGAACCATTGTGTAAGCACGGAGCAGAGCTGAGTACCCATCTGCTTAGTTTTCACTTGGATCATGCCGCTGCTTTGACGTACATAACCGAAAAAGTTCGTATTCGTCATCCTTGTAATAGTCTCTTCGTCTGATGACTTCCCTTAGACAAATTTCAGAGATGGAAAGGGCAAGGTTTACATGACTCACCCGACGAAAGCAGTGCACAAGTTCATGATGCAGGATTATGTTCGGACGAGGTGCGAGAACTGTGAACCCTGCTTTGTGATGCGATTTCAACATTGTATGCTAGTTCATCGTCTTCTGATGCTCTATTTTCGCCTTTGGACATGACGATGTCCCTGGCTTTCATCATCCCTGTTTCAGTGCACCAACTGATCACTGTTTGCCCTGGAGTCTCCTTCACTCCCTATCATGCTGGCCACGTCCTGGTGCTTGCATGTTTTTAATCGATATCTACGGCCTTAAGATTCTCTACACTGGCGACTACTCTCGAGAAGAGGACCGGCATCTTGTCAAAGCAGAGCTACCCCCAATCAGACCAGATGTGCTTATTGTGGAGAGCACTTTCGGCACTCAAACGTTGGAAGGTCGGGAAGAAAAAGAGCTGCGTTTCACGAACCTCGTTCACTCGATCATCCGCCGAAACGGACACGCCCTCCTCCCTGCCTTTGCTCTCGGTCGCGCGCAAGAACTCCTACTCATCCTTGACGAGTATTGGAAAAAGCATCCAGATTTGCACAATGTTCCTATTTATTACGCTTCTAGCTTGGCAAAAAAGTGCATGGCTGTTTATCAGACCTATATCCACACGATGAATTCGAATATCCGATCAAGATTCGCGAAACGAGATAACCCTTTCGTATTCAAGTACGCGTTTAGTTTCACGGTCCTTTTCGTGTCCTTGATTTTTTTCCCTCTAGGCATATCTCGAATGTCCCTCAAACTCGTGGTTGGGAGAAGAAGATTGCTGAAGGACCTCCGTGTGTTGTGCTTGCTAGTCCCGGATTCATGCAAGTCGGACCCAGTCGAGAGCTGTTTGAGCTATGGGCATCGGACTCGCGAAATGGATTGGTTGTCACTGGATACTCTATTGAAGGAACCCCGGCTAGGGTGAGTCACGATCAAATTATTACTTTGCAGCCGCATCCAGATCTGCATCTACATGTATCTAGTTTGTTTCAATGGACAATTTTTTTCCCCGCCTTTTTCGAGTGCTTGACGTGCAATATTTAACAGCCTGATCCATAGGACCTCCTGAACGAGCCAGAAGACTTTGTCACACTCAAGGGCAACACTATACCAAGAAAGATGTCTGTGGAAGCTATTTCATTCAGTGCTCACGTCGACTATTCTCAGAACTCTGAATTTATCGAGGCTGTTGGTGCTCAGCATGTGGTAAGACCGCTGTTATGTGTTCAACAGCTTTTGAAATCATAATTTTTGAAATTTATCCTTCAGGTGTTGGTCCATGGCGAACAAAACACGATGGGCCGGCTGAAAGCAGCCATGACATCGAGATACAAGGAGCGGAAGGAAGACGTCAAGATCCATACGCCTAGGAATCTAGAAACATTGCAGTTGTCCTTCCGGGGCGAGCGAGTGGCCAAGGTCGGCCAGATCTTAGTTGACCGAGTTCCATTAATGCTTATTGTTTTATCATGCAGGCTATCGGTACTCTTGCAGACAGACCGCCACAGCCAAGCGATATCCTCGAGGGACTGTTGGTCGCGAAAGACTATTCTTATACCCTCCTAGACCCGCGTGACTTGCGCGACTTTGCGGGTCTGACGACGTGTACAGTTACTCAACGGCAGAAGATTGTTCTGGGTGTTGGCTGGTTACTAGTCAAATGGCACTTAGAAGGTATGTATGGCTCGGTGGAGGAAGGGCTGGACAAGGACGGTGTTCCGACCATGAGGGTAAGTGTTAGATTTCAGATCCCAGGACAACATACCTATCAGTATTCATTTAGGTTATGGGCGTCGTTGACGTTAAGCTTACCGCCGAGCACGAAATGACTCTGGAATGGGAGTCGAGCTCTAGCAATGACATGATCGCTGACTCGACTTTGGCGCTCATCACTGGAATCGACAAGAGCCCTGCTTCGGTAAAACGTATGTCATCGTTCTGTACACTATTCATGGGCAACTTAGTGAAAAAAAAAATCTTAAATTGTAGTAACGACCAGCTCACACTCACACTCGCATTCTCCTTCTGAAGCAGAGCATAAGCATCCGCACGCGGACCATGAAGGCGAGGAAGCCTCTCGTCTGAGAATCCAAAGACTGTGCATGTTCCTCGAAGCTCATTTTGGCGACGTCGAACTACATATGCCCGAAGCCACCGACGAAGAGCCAGAATTGGGCGAAGATGATCGGGACCCATCTCTCCTTGTTCGCCTTGATGAGGCTGATGCTCAGATCAGTCTTGTTACGCTGGTAAGTCATATCGAGTCCACATTGTTCTCGTCCTATCTATGGACAACTGTTGCAACGATAGCTGATGTACAATCTTCGTTCTTCGATATAGACCGTGGGAAGTTCCAGTGAAACTTTGAAGAAACGGGTGGAGGCTGTCCTGGATATGGCGCTGACCACGGTGGGCTCGCTTTCGGAATCTTTTGCATCGGGGGCTCCGTTGGTAGACACTGGTGTATCACAAGACAAGGGTGATAAAGCGGCCGACACTGAGATGGGCCACACCGAAGCACAGTCGGTGACAGCTTAGATTTCAGGTTTTCCGGGCAGCAGAGTTCTTTCAATAGTCTGTATTGTACGCCGTCGGAAGGGCAAGGGGTTAAGCATCTCGGGTTTGCTTCGGTAATTTTACAGCAGTGGTCTATTTAACGACGTAATGAAAGGTGTCTTCGAAATGAATTAACGGACGAACTTGTCATAGCTTGTCATGTATGTCGGAAAAAAGGGCGAGGGGACTAAGAAAGGTGGGGGTCATCGTTATGGCATCGATTGTATACGTAGCTATCGGCGTCGGAGAAAGGTTACTAATCATGAGGAGAGTTTAGCAATGCTAGTAAGAATGGCGTTAGTTACCATTGCGACTCGGGGATAGAGGGGAGAGAACGCACCTCCACTGAGAGCCGTTGGCGGGGCTTCCGATCCGCCACCTCCATTTGTTACGATATTCAATTTCTTTTATCTCTCGGCGCAATTTTATAGCCATGAAGACGAGCAACAGTGACTGCGAGAGAGAGACTGCTGTGATGATGGGCAGCCAGATTTTGTGCATGGCAGTGCTCTGGTGCAGCTTGTTGGCGTAAAGCAATGCCGTGTATGTGATTGCGACACCAAGGTTTGCGATCCATAACACCGCGGCCGCATACGCGCACGCAATGCAGTACTTCGTGTATAGTCGGGGTGCTTCAGTCGTTTCCCAGCTGCCGACAAAAAGGATGATAATGTGATAGATGAAGGTGGCGATAGAGATTGCAGGAATGACCCAGATGACTGATGACAACGGGATAGCTAAAGCGCTGAAGGTGACCGTAATCGTGGTAGCGCAAAGGGATGCACATATGAGCGGCACGAAATGACTGGAGAGTGGGGTCATCCTGAGAGTATCGGAGGAGGCGTGGGGGTGCTAAAAGAATGGTTACTCGCCGCATTGCACCTTTTTATCTGGAATTCCTCGAGAACCATCACGACTTGGTGTCGATCAGAGCTTAGAACACCGACTCTATAAACAGGTTGTTGTCGTAAAGAATCATCTGCCAGAAGAATAGATCCATCATGTCTGGCGACATTCCTGTGCACCGCACAAACAGAGCCCTCTGAAGGGACTAGGCTACACCTTCGTGCATCTTGTACAAGGGTTATTTTAGGGAGAGGGGTGTAGAGAGGACAAGAGCACTCCACCAGTGAAACCCGAGCAACAGATACTCAGCTTCGACCTTCCAGAAGGATCAGTGGCGCCGTCTCTAACGTATAGTCTCTTAGCCGCGCGGTACTGTTAAACAATCGGGAGAAGCCCTCATCCACCTCATAAGCACGGTAGTCGCAGCTGGATACAGATATCTTGCAAAGAAAAGAAAAGGGCCACTTGTTGGTGATTCGTATTCAAAACGAGGGAGGGCTTCAGTTCTTTCGGAGCGGAGGAATCCATTTAACGCATGAATGAATGTATTTGACTTCCTGTGCGTACGTAGATGTTTAGTACTGTCAAGTTTGACAGACACACACGACTCCCGCACAAAATCCTACTTAGCGAAATACAAGACCACTTACATCAAGCCCTTGTCTGGATTATCTGAATTGTAGAGCGCTATTGCTTGGCCCTTCTGGATCAGTCTCCGATCCCGGCGATCCGCACTGCGATGGCGATGTTGAGATCAGGCAGAGTGTCAATCAAAGGGGTAAGGTGGTTGGTTGGTTGGAATGCTGCACTGGTGATCTCGCTGTTGGTTGTGGAGCGTGAGAACGTCAGTCACGCTCGCGTGACATCGCGTGACAAGTCGCGTCTGAACGCGAGCATCGTTGTCTGCAACTCCCTCCTGCACACACACCTCCCTTCCGGCGCTGCGATGTCGAAACTCGTAACAAGCCCCTCGCACGGGAAAGGGAAGACCTGTCTTGCATTTGCGAAGGATGGCCTGTATGTCTTCTCTTCTGACCAATCGATGAGGTCTAGTGAACTGAGAAGCCGGTCTGTCTAGACGTGCCTTTACTGGAGGGCAAGATTGTATAGTCCGGATATGGAAGGTCAACGAAGGCGCAGAACAGGAGCCCAGCACAGCTGCGGAAGCTGAAGACGCCATTACATGTGTCGCAGCAGCTGTATGGTGCCCCATTCTTCGATGTGAATGTCTATGCCCTAACACGCGTCATTAGGATGATTATTGGTTTTCGGGAAGTGAAGACACGGAAGTTCGAAGATACTTCAAAGATTCAAATCAATTCGATGCACCATTGACCTCATTCGCGGGAGTGCCAGTTCGATATATTACAGTCGATCCGAAGGGTAGACGAGTCGCTGTAACCTCCGAGTACGCCCGGTGTTCTTGCCATCTATGCCGACTTCTTTATACCAGTATTTCAGTGAACTCTTTGTCAAAGTCGTGGATATGGAGGATCCAGGGAAAAGCAGTCGATTAGAGGGTTATACATCGGGAGTGCGGAGTGCAACGTGGCATCCATCGGGAACTCTACTTGTGGGTACACTCTCTTCGATTTCAGTCCTCTGACTGGATAGCGTTGTAGGCCACATGCACCTGCGACGGAAAAATTCTTATCTGGAAGATGACTTCTGAACAACCGACCATAGAGAAGACCATTGAAGGAATAATTCCTGCCGTGATTGACACAGAGTACGCCTGCATATCGAGATATTACCGGGAGTATAATAATCCACCTGATGTTATAGGTCGCCAGAATTCTCTCATGAATGCTCGGTAGTATGGCATACCTCAGGGCACTACATTTTTGTGGCAACGAAGGCACATGGTACGCTCTTCGTTGGTTAAACAACTTGTGGGTGACGTGAAATTTCCAGAAATTGCAACCTTCTCTCGCTCGGACTGGAGGAAGACGTCGACATTCTCTGACAAAAACGTATCTGGTTCTATCACGGCTCTTGCATTATCCCCGAACGGTGTCTACCTTGCCTCTGCGTCTCAGTCGAGGGTGCATATATGGTCGACAGAGACGAAACGACTTATTGTCAGGTAGGCCGTAGGGCTGAGCATCTTGTCTCAAATCTTTACTCTCTCGTCATTGTAGCCAAATCGGGAACCCTGGCTCAACGATTACACAAATCGCGTTCTCGCCTCGAGAAAATCTTCTGGCATGGACGGACACCGACGGCGTCTTCACACGTTGGCCAAAACCCGTCGCAGATAATTTCCCGGACCCAGTGAAACCTGCACTTGCGACCAATGGACCTGCAACCATTCCAGTCAAAGCCCCGAGAGCGGCGTTGGATCTCTTCGGAGATAATGATTCAATAATGGGAGGCGCGAAGGACAAGGATGCCACGAACGATGTCGATCTGGATGACGATATGCTCGACGTAGATGATGGGTGGATCGTCGATGACATGGATGGAGCGCTGAATGAGCCAGAGACGACCAAGGTTTCTGGGAGTGGTTATGTGAAAGAGATGGGTGAGGCTCTTCATTTTATAGAAGTACAATTAATTTGGTTGACGGAGCCCTCCTAGTGAGTATCACGAAAGCTCAACCACCTTTCCAACCTGGGTCTACGCCATTCGAGAATAAGAAACGATATTTAGGTATGCATTATTGAGCTGCAAAATTTCCACTTTTTCACCCTTGCTTTAGCCTATAATATGATTGGCGTGATTGAAGTAACAGATCAAGATACTCACAATATTGTTAATGTCGAGTTTTTTGATCGCTCGTCACGCAAAGGCTATCATTTCACGGACAACTTCAAGTACGACCTTGGTTATCTCGGTACGTCGATGCAATTTGTTCATATATGCATTTCTCTTACATTACTCTATTTCCAGGGGAAAGAGGATCCGTTTTTGCATGCCCTCCAGAGAACGGCCATTCGGCGGAGGTTCTCTTCAAGCCATATTCCAGCTGGAAGACCAACGACTGGACGTACACGCTGAAGCGAAAGGGCACAAGATGCCTCGGTGTAGCTGCTGGTGGTCTACCGCTTAACACGAAAAACACTCAAGATCTCGAGGTGCAAGGTTATGGTCATGTTGTGGTTGCGACAAGCGAACATGACCTTACTTTCTTGTCTGGCACTGGCCGAGAACGACGGATCATGGCCCTTCCTGGAGAGTTTGTGACAATGGTAGCAAGTGCAGAGTGGGTGTTCGTCGTTCATCGGGCAGGGTCAACAACCATCGACGGTATGATGTTTACAAAGTATTGTTCCCAGAAGTATGACCTTGAATCTAGGGTCTCAGAATCTACACTATACTATTATCAACTTCGAAGATTTCAGCGTCCGGCAGCGCGACATTCTACCCGTTCCAAAGGGTCATACACTCAAGTGGATTGGGGTAACAGATCAGGGTGTGAGTGGCGACTTCTCCGACTGTTCTTTGATGATAACGAGATATTCTTTTAGGCGCCAGCAATGTATGATAGCATTGGCTACTTGCACGTCTTGACGAAATACCGCATTCCTCACCACGCATCCTGGGCTCGCATCATGGACACCAACATTTTGGAACGAAGACAAGGAAAGGACGAATCATATTGGCCCGTTGGAATCACGCAAAGTAATTTTATGTGCTTAATTTTGAAGGTATGTTCTCCCCAAGCTTCATTCTCCAAGGTATCTCATGTCTCCCCAGGGTCGACAAGAACATCCCTCCTTCCCTCGCCCATTGATCCAGGAGCTACCTGTGCGCATGCCGTTTAGAAGCGAATTGCCGCAGGAAGAATCGTGAGTAATCCAGGACTAGAAACACGCTTCTGCCTAACGAGGGCTTTCGACAGCATTGAGAGAGAAACCTTGCTCATCCAAATGATCTTCGACACCTTGGACGATGAACTGACTACCGATGATATCGTCGCTCGCGAAAAGACCATGGATATCGAATTTGTGAAGCTCATCCAAGCAGCGTGCAAAGCGAACAACATACCAAGAGCAATCGAGCTGACAAAACTTCTGCACAACACCATGGCATTCGAATCTGTCATTAAGATCGCAGACTTCTACCACCTTCCTGGATTGAAAGAGAAGATGATCCTCATCAAAGCAGAACGAGAGGAGATGGAAGACAGGCTCATTCTGGCCCGGAACAAACGAAGGCGTTGGCTGAAGCCCGAACCTCCCTTACGCCAGCTGGCTCAGCCCATTGCCTCTTCATCTCGCTTCGACCCTCTTGGCGACAGCCGGCCTCCTCCTGTCATCGAGCGACCAGGCATGGCGCGTGTCACGAAACCTATCATCGAGACCAGCCGTTTCAGTTCTGTCGTACCTCAATCGCAAGCAACTGATGTTTCTGCATGGGAAGATTCGACAGTTACGGACTTTCCGCCTGTAGATACCAAACGGAAGCGGGCAGAGATTGAGGAGTCATTTCCAAGCTCGGACTTTTCGATGCCTCCGCCCAAGCAGAGTACGTGATATTTACTGCGGTCCTCGTTTTGAAGCTGACGAGGAGCCGCAGAGGTTAATCCATTTGCGCGAAAAAATAACCAGAACCCCTTTGCTCGGAAGACGGAGGCGAAGACCATCCAGAAGAGTGAAAGCTTTTTCGACAAGGTGGATGCTGCTGAGTCTGAACCCCGAAAACGTAACTCCTTCCCCACGTTTGCGTGCCCCAGCGCTGACGAGCATCTTCTAGGACCGGCGGCGAAAAACAAGGAAAAGAAAGAGGGATCTAAGCAAGCAACCTTGTTCGGAATGATGCCAAAGGCTGATAAAGCTTCGCGAACGAAGAAGGCAACGGAACGAGTCTGCCGGAGTCTCAGCAGGATACCCTGACTGATTCTCAAATGAACGACGTCACCATGACCGATGTCGACTCTCAGAACATTGTGGACACACAGGAAACACAGGAGGAAACACAGAGGGCATACTCGCCTGATTGGGATGAGACCCAGCCAGTTGATCAGTTGGATGTGATCAGTGCTAACCCGGACGTCCAGTAGATCGGTCGAACATTTATTTCGATTTCTCACTTTACTCCCACCACCTGCACGCCCCATGCGAAGCACCCCCAAACCTCTAGTGTATTTTTATGTCAGAGCTTTATGATGTGGAAACTCGGATGAGGAAGTTGGCAATGTGTACGTACCTCTGACTGAGCGTACCTCCCATAGAATCAGAATTTCGGGATAGGTCGGTGTCTGGCCAGTGACGCACATGGCTCCTTCGCCAGGACTGCCAGAGAAAGCTTGTGGGAAGCGTGGGAGAAAGCTTACGTCAACTACCACGACTTGTCTCAGATTATCGAAGTTTGCTCCAGGTTTGCTCCCTCAACCTAGTAAAGCTAGCGGGAATATCTTCTGTAAGTACACAATCCCCGCTCCCGCTCAGGCCTTCAAGCTTCAGCTTCAGGACGGATTAGTCGTATTCACTCCTCTGCATGTCTGACGCTTCTCATGTAGGCAAGGACGTTCCGCAATGCCGCCTCTACTGTCTCCGCCGGCGGGACCGCCGCGGTCTGGTTGCAATCCCCGTCAATTTCAGAGCATTGTGCTCACCTTTTCCTAGCCCCGAAACCCCGCGTGCACCTCGCTCCGACGCCAACAAAGCAGATCAAACGAGGCTTTGCATGGCTATCGGGGAAGAAATGGACTCGGAGATGCACCTATGTGACCTGCAGACTTTCCAAATGACATATCTCCCGTTTGCCCCAAAGCAGCCCGACGTTGAAGCCTGTCTTGAATTTCTCGTAGGAGTCAACGTTTTAAGCAAAGATGCCGATGGTGGCTATCGCTGGGTAGCCTTCGAAGTGTCGCCATCCGGGTCTGGTCTAATCGAGGACGATACTTTCGTCCCGCTACAAGGCATTTGCGAGCAAATTTCCAATTTCCCACTTGTTCGAGGAGATTTAGAGAACACTGTTGCAAATTTTACCTTCATCCAGACTCCCCGCACCACGAATCCGTCCGAAATAAAAGGCTCTGATCACAAGGTAGACGGCTTCTTCAGACCCACCAATGTCCAGTTGGCGCAAGACGCAAGAACCCCAACCTCCGCAGTGGCTGCCGGTGCAGAATTCGAGAAGAAAAAATCCTTTGAGGCCACGCGCGATGTGCGTGTATGCTCGTTCTCTCGTGATAGTCAATCTACCCTCTCTTCACCTGGATATAGAACCGCCTCAAGATTGTCGCTGCTGCTAATCATGTTATGAACGATGATCCTCGGCGTATGTTTACCTATGGTGTATGTATTCCCTTCAACTCAAGGCGCATTTCTTCTAAGACCTTTGCCAGATAACTATTGAGGACGAAGACGTTTCTCTGTGGTACTTCTCCAGATCACATTCCACAAAATCTCGCCACTTTGGTTTTATGACCGTATGTTCCGTTTCTTTTCACGAGCCTTATGCCGACATCTTGACGATTCTCAGGATGTCAAGACTTTCGTTTCAGTACTCCTTTCCTTCATCTTTGCGACGGAAACCGAGATTGGCTTCGATTCGACCATTTATCGCGTCGACACTCCCTCTCCCGTCTCCCACGTCTACCAAATCAATGAACGATTCTTCAAGACAGTTCGCACAATTTCAGAGTATCGATCATTATGCATAACTGGCCGGACGACACGCGTTTGGGAGGTAATAGAAGTAGAATCGTTCCAAGACCTGACACCCAAGCCCAACGCCCATCCTATGGTGCTCAAGGATGTTTGGCTAGATGCAACTGCCCTGACAGAAAAGGAGATACAAGCAATCCTCTTCAGCGACCTGGAGGTGTTTGGACAGGCGATGAAATCTAAGGATCCCGAACAGTTCACAGGTTTCACGGCGGAAATGAAGGATGAAATCCGACGTTGCCTCGAAGGCGAAGCCTACAAGAAATACTTTCTCAGCATTGAATGTGACTGCCAGGGCCATACATCAAGAGCGGTCCCGGCATCTGCTTACCCTGTGGATGGCCTTTTCTCTGTTGGCATTGCATCATCTCAGGTTTCCTCGCAGCAGTCACTAGTATCTGGAGCTGATCCATCTCGATCCCGTGGTGATCCCCTTCGGCCTATACACCCCCCTTCAAAGCCCGTCTCACCTGGTGCTGGCGCCCAGCCTCGAAAGTATGCACCGAAACGGCAGTATCGTGTTGTGTTCAAGCAGGTCTGCCGTGCCCTGCATGATTTGAACGAGCTTCAGCCAACAATGGACCTATTGTTGCAATCTACTACAGGTGAGCACGCTGTCAGCTATTCTCTATTATGTGCTGAACTTTGAATTAGCCCTCCAATTGCTTTATTGTGCCGGGTGGGTGCACAGAGACATTAGCTCTGGCAATTTGCTCTGTTTCGAGGATGGGGATGGAGAAGTGCAACTGGTGCTAGGAGATCTGGAGTATGCAAAACGGTTTAGTGCTGGGGTTGGGAGCCCTGATCCCAAAACGGTGAGCACAGTTGTATCTCTTTATGCCATCATTAATCAGTCCAACTGGGCATTGTTTAGGGAACCAGCTATTTCCTGCCATATGAAGTACACGAAGGGCTCTATATCCTCTTTCATCAAAAGCCACAGCCAGTGGCACCTATTAGGGAATTTGAACAACAGCGGAGTGTTCCCACTCGCATTCCCACATCTGTTCGCCACTCATTTCAGCATGACCTCGAATCCCTCTGGTGGGTGCAGCTGTGGTGTGTCACTGCACGGTTGAATGCAGCCTCACTGTCATATGCCGAGAAGATCTTCCTGAACACATATCGTCCGAGCATGGACCGGCGAGATGCATTCTTGTTTCTAGATGTCCTTGCTGAAAGCCTCAAAACCTGCCTTCCCACCAATATGCACCGGATGATCATAGGCATGGATCATGAACGTCTCATGCTCAACCAGCAATATATTCAAAGAGAGCAAGAGGATAAACTCGACGACATTGCATCCTATTCAGAGATATATGCCTCATTCCGTGATGATCAGTCATTCTTGAAGGAAGTTTGTCCAGCTCTGTCACTGGTACCTGTTCGCCAACCAATCCCTGTTCGGTCTCCCTCGCAACCATAGGCTGAATAGGTTGTCCTTCAAGGGACTGTGAAAGAGTTTGGCAAAGAGGTGTCATTGTCCCCCGCTGTATGTATGAAATTAATGACATTGTAACTTCATTTTTCTAAGTATGTAATCTACCATACTTGACATCATGTCAGGGGCCAGTGAAAATGCAGCTTCGTTGCCTTTGAGGTGGATGACATTAACCGCCTTCGACTTGAGCGGGTCCATGATCCGGATGAAGGAGGGTCACCGAAAACGGAGATTCTGGATAACCAGTCATGGTAAAGGTCCTTGCACGAGAAATTGACTACTCGGTATCAAGAGCACGCAAGTCCTTAGCAGTATTTTCAATCATTCTTGACTTGTAACCCCATTGTTGATTGTGTATCCCATTGAAGCTACGATCGAGATCATAATCACAATATGTCTCTTTTCGGGGAAGGGCCACTGACGATAAAAACTGGACCAGAACTTATAGTTCAGCGAGAGCACACGTAGGCACCATTGCGCGATTTTGGTGTGCGCCGTTTCAAGATTAACAGTAAAGTTTCGTGAGCAAGAAGGGTCTGAGATAATCTGCAAACGAGGCATGGTAGAACCGCAGCTAGGCTTCGCGTCCAGAGAGGTCTGAAGGGCTTGGATCTGGGATCTCCAGGAATGAATGTAATCCTCGCAACAGGACTGGTGAATCGCCTTCTCTGAATTCTAAGATATCGTCGAGCAAACGGAACAATATCGCAGGGTCCCGAAGTCAGTGCTGCGGCCAAAATTTGTCTGCCCCAGCAAATATTATCAAGACGACCTCTGGAACTTGGACAATCCGACTAGGGTAGACCGAACACGCGAGAATCTTGTATACAGTTGGTCGAGGGTGGCAGATGGCGAGAAACTCAAGTTGGCATAGAACTATTTCTGGTTGGTCCAATGAGTTGTGGTATGGGTCATCAATGAACTTCAAAACGGTCGAGGCATATATGAATTGGCTAGAGGCTTTTTTGACAAGATGTCTGAGGACGCCTTCTGAGGGCCAGAGGGAGAGACCCTTTGCACTGAATGCCGATGACATGGTTTCTTCCTGATGTCCAAAAACCTGCCTTCCAGGTAGAGTCGGATGTCGCCGTCTGGATCAAATTTGTCGTCGAGGAAGACCGAATGAGAGATTTCTCCGATCGATGAATGCTGGAAGTGTTCTCGTATGTGGGGTTCGGGGCGGCTGGCAATGAGAAATCAGAGAGGGAAATGGGGTGTCGTGGCAGCGGTATGGACTAGATCCAGAATATGGCACTGAAGATCTTCACCACGACATTCGTCCAGCCCGTCGACGATAACAACTTGAGGCGAAATACTGCCGCCCTGTTCAACAACTTCCCAAATGGGCCGAATAATCAATTCCTTCATTTGCAACTCGAGGGGACGATCCAATATGTTTGCGTTGTCCACAAGAGTTTGGTTAATGATTCCCTTTGTTGCTGGTATGGAGAGAGCGAGTTGATAGGCTATAGTGGCGAGGAAGTGCATCGCAGAATTCCTTCTGCTGCTCGTCCGCGAGAAAAAGTAACTAGGCGCCAATTCGCCTTTTTCTTCGCATGTCTCCGCTACGGTCTGTGCAATTGCCGACTTTCCTGCACCTGCAGGACCATTCAACCACAGCGCCTGGGTTATTCGCAGTGGATTCGCAATCCAGCGCTTAATGTGGCGAATAATCGCCTTGCAGGTATCAGGATAGCACTTCGGCAGGGGATGCGCTCGGCGGAGTCATGAAAAGCCCCTCCTGCTATATGTTTGTGCAAGAGCGGGAGTCCTGCACGGAGAAAGAACTGGAACTAGACGTTGGATACTGATCATTGAAACATCCAGGAGGCTCACCTGCACTCCCTTCATGGTGGACAATATTCGCGTAATCACCATTGACCGCTGTAAAAGAACCTCCTTTGATCGTGAAGCGGTTCGCCTTGGAGAACATAGCCACGAGCAACCGAAGGAAGATTCAACAGGTGGGGTCCATGGTCGGCTATGAAGAACGGTGCAATGCGAAAGATAGGGCTTTCTCCCTCAGTTACGCAAAAAAGAACGTATTCCCAGCTACAGCCTTGGTCCTGTGAAGGCTCGAATCTTCAGTTACTGAAAACCGCGGTTGCCTAAACTATCCTGCGACTTCTTTGTAGACATCATGTTTACCAAATGTTTATTAGAGTCTGCGACCTAGGGTATCAAGGGAATATCATTCGGTATTTTGGAAGGTGTAGTCGTCTGCTCCCGTAGTGATCATCGCCGAGCGTGGTCCTTGTTCAACAGGAAGAAGGTATCGATGGATAGGTCCTAACTGGGCGTTGAGCAATGAAAGCAAGGGTTTAATGTCTGTACATACCTCAGGTCTAAATGGCCAATCCTTGAAGACTGAAACCAAATGGGCCCATTGAGCAATAGTGAATTCTCGTGGCCTTGAATCTAGGTTAATAATGCTCTCCGAAGGGAGTGAAGGATCATCCAGCTTCGGCAACAGATTGGAGGCACCAGGGCCAAGGGAGCTGATGATATAGACAAATGAGATTAGCGCGGGAATTACAGAGAAATCGGACTGGCGCACTTTATGCATTTGCTCAACGGGGTGGCTTTCTGAACGAAAAGCTTTCGAAGGCAGTAATCCCAAAAGTCAAGATCATTCGGTTGAATTATCTTCGCAGGGTTAGATCCAGCATTCGTCTCTTGCGCTCTTGCGAAAGGTACTCACAGGGTGCTCCTTTGGGATACAAGAAAGGGATGCGTATTCCGGGGGCATCCCGCGGAGATCAATATGTTTGGAAGGCTTATTGCCTTTGCGTGTCGACACCGGGTGGAAGTTATCTTCGTATGGCTGCAGACACTCCGGTGGTCCCCAATGCGATATGTCAGCAGCTGCTTGAGCCATAACAGCAACCTTCCCTCTCGTGACTGAATTTTCAGAAGCCATGATCCTCTGGGAAAAAAGAGTCAATGCAATTCTAGGGCTAAAAGGGGGAAGAAAGGATACATCGCTTATGTGCAATGGCAGGATGAAATGAACAGGCACTCGTCCATATTTGAAAAGCCACTGCCCATCAGGCATCGCACGCAGTATTTGATTGACCATTTGTTCGCCGTCTGTCTTACCCGTGATATGCATAACGAAAAATAATGTTGGGTGGGCTGAGGAGAGGTCGGTGCAGGCATGTTTGCATAGAGGTGAAGGTACTGACGTTCATGTCCAGAAACGACCGGCACGTCTGTAAGCATTCCCGACTCTTCGAGTTTTCGGTAAGAATCCCACTCTCTGGCTGACCAAGGGAAAACTGAGACACGAGAGTCCTCTTCCAGGGGCTGACAGGAAGGAGTTAGGGAAAGCTTTACACAAATACACCCGCTCTAGCAGCGAAGATGTACTTGCCCTCAAATATTCCAGGTAAGATTCAGTATTTTCCAACACGATTATTTTCTTGATTCTCTCCTTCGGAAGCGCCAGTAAGGCTCGTGTCAATTGCCCAGGTCCTAGAAGGGCGTTCGCATCAGCAAGATGTAAGCGTAACAACAAACACCAAGAAGCCTACCAGGATTTGCGTCAATAATGATTTTATCCCTTGAACCTTCGGGCACCAACAGCTCCGCCAACATTGCGGCAGTTTCTGGATTCCGTATGCTTACACGACCTGATGTATCGCGAACGTGCTTGAAGACGGATTTCCAAGTTTCCGGGGGAGGCAGGTGCAAGCCAGGAGGCCCCTCGTCAACCCGTTCTGCGGCCTGCACTGTCTTTCGCTTTGGCACAGTGGGTTTAGGGACAGCTGGTCTGCCTTTTTTCCTGATCACGCCTAATTGCGCTTTTTCGCTGCGCTTGAGCGGCATGTCGGCCAGAGTATATGCTTCTATCGCCCGACTGCCTCTCTTCTTCGGTTTCTTTTGCGCTGTTGAGGATGTTGGTGCGTCGAGTGGTGGTTGAACTGTGTCGTACAACCACCGCCGTGAGCCGACTTGAGATTGAAAAAGCAGATTTCTGCGACATATCGAAGACTGGATGTATCTTGAAAGGTGAATGGCAGACATGTGGGAGGCAGAGGTGTAAGATCGACGCGTGCCCAGTGACCGTGTCACTGACTCTCACGGCGTGCCAAGAGAGCCGTCCAGAACTCACTCCACTCGCACAGATGTCTTCATGCCGACCATTACGCCCAACGGGCGGGTGCTTAGACCGGTCATTCTCGTCCTGGGATGTCTAACTTTCCTGGGTTATTACACATATCTCACGTCTCGGCCGCCCACCGCGCTTTATAACGACCTGTTCACCTCCGAAGATGAGGCATCCAGGAAATTCATCCACAACGAGCTAGGGAGCAAGTATGTTAAGTTTAAACAACTCCAGGGCGCTGGATTCAACAACCAAGTTCGTGACTTTGTGGTTTTGCCATGATATACTGCTCACCAATATTCCAGGCGCAAGAAATCCTACTGTATCATCATCTTGCGCTACAAACGTCACGGATATATGTCTACCAGCCCTTCATATGGCGCCCGCGCGGGGAGAAGGCAGAAGTCCCTCTATCAGCATTTCTTCGTGGACCAACGGAGGGGACCATCAGCGACTCTGCTTTCGATGAAGTATGCCCGCCAGAAGACGTCGTTCGTGTCAAGCTCGTAACCAACACCGAGAGCCAATGGGAGCATGCTAAGAGCATCCTGAACTCCAACGATCGATGTATTGTAGTGGAAGACTGGCTATTCAACTGGAAGTGCGTTCAGTCTACTTTGCTCCCTAATGACCCGTCCCTAAACCTCTTCAGTTACCTTGCATCCACAGGAATCCATGACATCTGGCCGAGCTTCCAGAAATATCTCGCAAACCACTTCAAGTGGTCAGACAACGTTCTAGCTATCGTCGACAGAACCCAAACAAAACTTGGACTAAAATCACGCGGAGCACCTTCGTCAAGCCAAGGCAGTCCCTATATCGCGGTGCACCTTCGCCGAGGCGACTTTGAGGACCACTGCAAGTACCTAAACACCACGCACCAAGGCTTCACAACGTGGGGCAGCCTTCCCTTGCTCCGACCAGCCACCTACCCTCCTGCTCTGAACACAACCGACGCCGCCTCCATCATGGAACACTGCTACCCCTCCCTCCACCGCATCCTCGACGCCATATCCAAGCAAGCACGCTCACGTGGCAACGTCCGGGCCATCCACATCCTCCACGACGGTGCCTGGGACCACCCGACCGTGTATTTGCAATTTTACAAGCTCTCCCAGGCGTTGACGAACGAGCGCTGGACGACACAGCATGGCTGGGTCGGCGGGCCGATGCTGCGCGTGACACAGAGCGCCGATGTCCCAATGGAGAGGGGAGAGCGGGATTGGCGTGTGTGTGTTGACGTTGAGCTTGCGAGGAGGGCGGAGGTATTCATTGGGAATGGATACTCGAGCTTGAGCACACAGGTTGTTGCGCTAAGGCTGGGCGGGGATGGAGGAAAAGTGGAGGATATTACCCTGATATGAGGTCAGCGCCCAGCTAATGCAGTCACTATATTCATTACCCTTTTCACTTCGCCACCAGCTGTCATTGCTATCGCTATGTACATGTACATCTTATACTTATGCCTTTTTGCTTCACGGGATTTCCGCGGCATGCTGAATCAGGCTGAATCTCATGCAGTTAATTCGAAGGGCGTTCGGAATTATGGATGGGCTGGGCGCTGAAATATTCATCCTCCCTACAGTCGTATCTCTAGGTACATCACGGGTCGGTCGTTCCTCATTGGGACCTCGCGGTAATCCAACCTTCCAACCTTCCTTCCTTCCTTCCTTCCTTCCCAATTTTCCACGAATTACAAATCCCCTCACAGCTTGGAATGGCTGCGATCCCAATAACCCGTTGCTTTGCGCAGCACGCAGCTTGCCCTGAACAGGAAGTAAACATACCGCCGACACGAACTTCCGTCCTTCTCTTTACAGAGGGCAGTGCTGTATATGGATTCGCTGGAGATCCTAAGCTGCCTCCGGAAGCCTCGCAGGTGGCGCATTTTTAGGTGTCCTAGCCTCCCTTGATCTCTACCACTCGCTGCCATACTATTTAAAGGAGGGTTTCTGCAACATCAGACGTGCATATCTTTCCCTTCGACTTCGAGTTACGAACGTGCGAGGGAGATGGTCGACCTTCCTGCTCCAATTGGCGGAACCGTCCTATCCTCTGACTTCGCGCCAGCTGTGGTCTTTGCCGCGCTCTATGGCCTCCTTGCACTTCTCATAGCCTATCGGCTCTACGATAGGCGCTCCAGGACCACGTTGCTCATCGGGTCGATCATATTTTCCGTCGAACGGTATGTCTGCGCTCATATCATCATCAGGCGTCTTTGGCTGATGGAAAGTTTCGGCGAACGCAGGATCGTCATTTTCTCACTACGAGCATCCCAAGCACGCAACGATGCTATGCGATATTCTGGGGGGTTGCTCAACTACATGCAAGTCAGTTTCGGGTTGGGGTTCGTCGGCCTCGCAGGAGAGCTTGTCGGGCTCCTGCGCTGCTTGCTCGTCAACGCTACCTACGGTTCGGAAACCTTCGCCCAGTCTCCGGCTGCGATGACGAAAGGCTGCGTCACGGGTCCTCCTCCTGAAGGAACCCCCGACTTGAAGAGCACACGCTTTGCCGCGCGCCGGTTCGCGGATGTTGCGGGCTTTGCGTTCCTCGCTGCGACGGTGCCTGGAATAATCGCAAACGCGGATTTCAGTAAGGCACAGAATGACCAGGACCAGGCGGACAAGACGGCACGCTTGAGATATGCGAGCACGGCGACTGTGTTGGGGTTCATTTTGGTTTTGTTCGCTATCGTGATGTGGGGACGGATGAGACTTTCGAGGATAAGTCGGCGTGGTGTGGGTGTCATTTTATTGCTCATGAGCCTGCTCGTAAGTTACACGATTATATATTTCCGATGCTTCTCTGATGATATTTCTGTCTTGTAGGCCACTGTCGCCATATATCGCCTCATTGTCATGCGTTTCAAAACCACGTCCATTAGAGAATTCAGCCCACTAAATTCTCCCGGTTCGAAGGCAACATTCTACGTCTTTCATATGCTACCAGAGTGGCTCTTTGGTCTGATCGTATTTGGCGGCAATTCGCGGCAGACCTTTGGTACTGGCCGTTGGGGAGACTGGCGCTCTCGGGACGAGACCGAAAAGGAGAAGGCGCTAAGGGAGAAGAAGAAAGCTGAATCTGACAATAAGAAGGCTGAGTTAAATGAGAAGAAGCGAATAGAACAAGTCGAGGTAACTGCCGTCTAACGAAGCGTTGTAGTGTACGTTATCTGCTTTTCTTCTAGTAGTCTTTCTTTCCCCAGTTCCAACGTCATACCGATACCCATTACAATAACATACCGCATAATATTATCACACATTGGAGATGCGCAGAGGTCATTCTGATAGAACAAACCCTCTTTCATGGTGTCTTAGCCGACATGAATTGAACACGATGGCCTTGTCTTCTTTTCTCTACGATCGAACGGAAAGAAGTGACACCATTCATCGAGAGGTTCTGGATTGAGGTAGGTGGAGTATGCATACCTCTCAGAGAACATTTGAACTAGGTAGCGCTCTCTGGTGGCCAGCGAGGGGATAATCTAGTGAAGATGTGGGAGAGGAGACACGCTACGCGTCTCGGCAATCACGCGCCGGGGCCAATGAGACGCGTCCACACGTGACGACGCGACGCGTTTACGCGCCTCGCGATTGATCAGATGGCGGAGCTTGAATTGTGGGAGGATATCCGTGCGTGTTTTTCCTGCACTCTTGTTCCTCCGACCACCATCCATCTCCCCTCGGACGTTCCCCGCACTCCAGCAATGCAGACACGTCGCAGCACCGTCCTTGGAAAGCGTGGCCACCAAGACTCGTCGTCGCCAGCACCAGCACCGACGCAGGTCTGTGAACAGCTCCAGACGCCCGACAACACCCCCAACCCGAAGCGCCCTCGTACCTCCTTCACCTTTGTCGACGATGGCAGCAACAAGGAGAACATTCCTCCTCTTTCTGCCTCCCCTATCAACGGAGAGCTGACGCCTCGCGCTGCGCGCATGCTCAGACGGACCTCCACGGCAGAGGCTATCACACCTCCACGTAGCCGACCAGGTATGCTTGCTCTTCATTTCTTCGAATACGTTTCTCAATGCCGGGTCCTCAGTTCCACGAAGGACCGCTTCGGTTGCTTCAATGCCGCCTGCCACCCCCTCGACAGAAATTTCCACGCTTGCCATTGCAACGCCTCCACCTACTCCTCCCACCAGTCTGCTTCCTATCCACTCTCGTGCCCGTGCTTTGCTCCGCTCTACCTGTAACAACACTCAAGCCCAGATTGCTGGCCGCGACAATGAGCGCGCAGCCATCCTCAGCTTCCTCGCACCCTTCATCGAGGGCACATCCATGAACGACGACGAGGCTGTCAACAGCATGTTCATCTCAGGTACCCCAGGAACTGGGAAGACTGCTCTCGTCAACGCCATCATTCGCGAACTCTCAAGCGACACGAACTGCGATGTCAAGGTCATCTCCATTAATTGCATGGCGCTGAAGAGCGTTGACGGCTTGTGGGAACGAATGATCGAGGAGTTTGGCGAAGCGCCGAAAAGAAAATCGGCTGCAAGCAAGAAGCTCAAAGGACGCGATGCAGTCACTTCTCTCCTTAATAGCTTCAACACGAAATCGTAAGGTCCCTTTGTCTCTTCATTGACCCTCGCTGACAGTCGTGCTTCTAGCGTCCTCATCCTTGACGAGCTTGATCATATTACACCCAACGAACAGACACTTTCATCAATCTTCACGCTTACCGAAACCCTGTCCACGACTTTACGTCTTATTGCTATCGCCAACACCCACACCCTTACCTCATCCTCGTTTTCGACCTCTTTTTCCCCTTCCTCGAATGTCCAGACAATCCACTTTGCTCCGTATACGCCAGCGCAACTGCAGGACATCCTCCAGACGCGCCTCAAGTCTCTCTCTGATGATGAACAGGCCGCAACGGCAATGAAGAAGTTCCTGCCCACCCCAACCCTGACTTTGTTGACCAAGAAGATCGCTTCCCTGACAGGTGATGTCCGCAGTGTCTTCGAAGTCCTTCGAGGCGCCATCGAACTGGCTGTCGCTGCATCGGCACCCAAGTCTGAAGACGAGAACCCTCTCAACACCCCAGCCACGAGTGTCACCCCTCAACACGTCCTTGCGGCACTGAAAGCCTACACCCCTGCCTCCGCCGCGCCAAAGACCTCTAACGCAGCCACATCCATCTCCACCCCAGCAGCCACCAGCAGCAACAGCGAGACGGTTATGAAAATCCGTAACCTTGGTCTTCAAGCTCGTCTCGTCCTTCTCACCATTCTCCTTGCCTCCAAACGTCTCGAAGCCGGCCTCACTCTATCATCATCTTCACCAACATCACCGAAGAAGCCTGCAGCGTCGCCCATGAAGCGTACTCTTTCCGCTCCTATGGCTTCGTCGAGCCGGGCAGTCGGAATCGAGACCAGCTCCCTGCATACCTACTACACCGCAGTCATGTCGCGCACTGAGCTCGGAATTTTTGAGCCTGTTTCGCGAGTAGAGTTCGGCGACTTGATGGGTGTCTTGGAAGGTGTTGGACTCGTTTCGCTCTCGTCTTCCCTCCTTTCTTCAACCTCAGCCAGCCCAAGCAAAGGCAAGAGGGCCTTTGGTCGTTCTGCTTCCTTCGGTGGCGGACTCGGCAAGAACGGCGCTGGTGCCGTTGGTGATGTCAGACTGGTTGAAGGCCTTTGGGCCGACGAGATCCTCCGCGGTTTGGGCGTCACTGCTGATGCATCGCCTGCTGATGCTCGCGAGGAGGAGGTCCGGGGTATCTGGGAGAGGGAGAAGTCACGTCTCGCGAAGGACCTCAAGGCTTCACTTGCTGGGCCTACTGAACTCGACACATTCGCGGGTGCCTATCGAGGATAATTTCTTTATGCTCATCTAGCTTTTGCTTTCTACTTCCTGCCTTCTTCATCTTTTCACCTTTCCTCCTCAATTCGATTTGTTCGATCCTCTTTATGCTTTCGCGTCTTGTTCGGCATTCATTCATCGTCATCATCATTTTCAAGCATCAGCCTCATCATTCACTTATGTCTTCACTTATGCATTCCACTTGTTTTGTCCACTCTCCGTTGTTTCCTTCATTCTATCCCGTGTGCGACCTTCATACCACAACCCTCGTTGGGTTGACTCCATCTCGATATCTTTTTTTTTCTCTTTCGCCGACTTCGTCTTCCCTTCGAATTGTCCGCTATTCGTTTTCCTTTCTTCACTTCATTGCTCTTGCTCTCCATGCATCGCTTGCATTCTCCTTTGCTCTGCTGTCACATAGCATCCGCCTGCTGCAGTCCTCGTCCTCCCTCATCGTCATCATCATCATTATGGACCTCATCATTGGTGGAAGGAACCCAAACAAGCCGAAGAAAAGAACGAAAAAAAGTATGAAAACTCTAGCTTCCCTTCCAAAAAGATTACTGTAGCGTAGTATCGACTGTTGTATAAGTGTGTAACATATGCGCACGGTTATGCCTATATATCCATATTCAATCAATATGTATTTATTGAAATTATTCTCGTTATGGCACCGGACATGCGTCTGTCACGTCAGGTGATTCGTTATCTCGACGCGTTGTGAGGTCACGCTCGCGCTTTGGCACGATCCCCTACGTGCTTACCCTCGGCCGTTGACACTTCGACAGCTGCGCAGTGCAGTCATAACGTAGGTTATAGTGCCTTCCCCTCGAGCTTGGAACTATGTCGCCAGGCACACTCACGACACGCTTGGAGGCCGTTTGTTGGCGGACAGATCGTCCTAGCGGCTGTATTGACCGGATTCGACGTGCAGCTCGCTTCAATTGGAAAGCCGCTTTCCATAGAACGCATTGTTCAAGGCCTCACTTAGCGGTTTCGTCAGGGAAGACTCTCGTCCACGCTGCTCATGTGCTTTGCACCGTTTTACCAGAAATGGGAGCCCCCCTTCGTCCAGACGGGAAGGCACGAGTCTGGGACAATGCGCCACTCGATTGCCACGAAAAAGCTACCGATGGCCCCCTTTGCCGAGGCCTGTGGCCCACACGCGATGGATATAAAATGCGGGCCCCAAGCAATGGCTGCCACCTCCCGCGAAACCTCACCCCCCACTTCACTATCCCCCATATCCGCGACACCTACAAAGCATTCAACTCCATTTTATCACCACTACTACTATCTCTCTGACCTATATTCCAATCACGGAGGATGGACACCTTGCGTAAATATTTCGGGAAAGGAAAGAAGTACGCGCTCTATCGATAGGTTCCTGCTTCCATCCTCACATTTTTTTCAGCTCCAAGAAAGGAGACAAGACTCTGCGGCACTCTAGATCGATGCCGTTGCGAGGCTCCGCCGGGACCAGTCCCGAATTATACGCGCACCACCAGAAACCTTCCTTCCAGAGCAAGCATGGTAAGGAACTGAGGGTCAGCCAGGTCGGCTTTCCCGTTATCGACATCGGCCGCGGCCCCAACGCAGGCTTCCTCCACCCTGCATTCCAGGATGCGAGCGATGACGAAGACGCGGCGTTGAATTTTGAGAGGCCGCGCGAGGTACCTCCACTGTCGGCAAAGGAGATGCACGACCTGCTTGGCCGGTTCCCTTCTCCCCCCTCTATATGGGATCAGCCTTCGAAGATGAGCTTGGACTGTGAGCTGCGGTGGGTGCAGCTGCTGCGGGCCAAGCATGAAGATGAGAAGAAATTAAGGGAGCACTGGCGAAGGGCTCAGGCCCAGCCCTCCGCGGCGCAAGCGTCGCGGTGATCACGAGAAACACAGCGGTGGCGTCCAGCCTCGCTCGACTCTTGACACCCGGTTCACGGGCGCGCAGATGGCCTACCCCGACCCCGTCCGGCAGCTCGTCGTGCCCGACAGACCGCCGTTGAAGGTGCACAAGCCGGGAGCGAGGAGCCAGGACGAGGGCGACTATATCTCACAGCGCGCAAACAGCATCATGCGCCACGCGAACTTATCCACGAAGAGTCTGGACCCGAACATGGTCTTTGGCCCGAACGAACGCATGAAGCAGGGTCCGGTGGCACATAACCCGGTCGTGCAAAAGCAGAAGCAGCACATCTCGCATGCCATGCCGCTGCAGCCGCGTCCACGCTTGCCGTCGAACATGTCTATCAGGTCTGTCATGGAGGCTACTGTTGGACCGCCGTCTGTTCGTCGCCACCAGAGAATGGAGTCGAATGGGTTTGCGAGACAACGCCTCGTTTCGAACCCCCACAGCGTCAAGGCTCAAGTTGGTGTGCTTGGGCATTACGCCGAGCCTGCCTCAACCCAACTAGCTCAGATGCAGCACAGACGCACCGAATCCAGCTCCTCGCGTATGAGTGAACGGCGTCTCCGCTGATATTTTCCTGTCAAGAAAGCCACCGACTGTTTCGTTGCTCCTGACCACCCAACATCTTCTCAAGACTCAATGTACCACCACCATTATTGCTCCTTAAACTCTCTGTAACACACACACACACTCCTTCTTCTCATGTTACTGATCTGTAAAGTATCTTATGTATACTTACCACTCTCCTTTACTGTTCAATTGCTGTTTCTTTATTCTCTTCGTTCTTCTATCACTGACAGAGATCTACCCACACTCGTTACTTACAATCTGTTTCAAATGATATATCATTATGAATCCGATTATCTCTCGAGGCTCTGTGTATATATTCATGTTGAATTCGAAGTTTTCCGTCTAGTGCGCTGGGCATTGGTCCATGTGGGTCCAGTGTCCTGCCGAGGATCATGTGACCTTTGACGTGTTCCTGACTCCACGGCTCCGGAACGCGTCCTTCAACACAACTTCTATGAGGTCTCGCTCTTGCTCCACGAGCCACCCATCTTCCGCGCAGTGAAAAGCACCATACTGAGAGACGCAGTCTTGCCTCTCCGTCTATCCTTGCCCACATGACGACGCAGCACTCAACGAGAAGGTCTCGAAAGATACGCAGACGGCTCTCATTAGGTGGGACAGGATGGCAAACTTCTTCCCCAAAATCACTTGCCTCGGCACCATCTCCAGTACGGAATCTAGGTAGTCCATCACAAGGAGCATCTGGACTACACGTCTATCAGCGACCCAACCTCACCGACGCCTCCGATTATGAAGAAGAGCGTCACTTGAGATTGTCAGACTTGAAACCTCGAGGGCGTTCGACGTCTCCAATTAAGCGCATATTCGACGACGAAAGACCTCCACCGACTGCGTATGCGTCGTTACCACCCACCCCGATACTGCCTTCTCGCCCCTTCTCGCCTCCAACTCCTGTATCGCCTTTGACGTCGGTATTCGAACCACCACTACCCCAGCAGGAGCATCATGCAGTCCCGTTTTCGCTGTGGGACTATCTCCGGGAGGAGTTGTTAGCCACGGACTTTGACTCTCACCAAGAGTTGAAATGGGAGCGAGTTAGCAACTTTCTGAGTATGCCGGTGGCGATGGAAAAGGTTAGCCATTCATCCCTACGTGGCAAGACTCGCCGTTCAACGTGTACAGATCATCGGATTTGGCTTCATACTCTGCTTTGACTCGTTCCTATACACCTTCACCATCATGCCCATTCGATTTGTGCTCGCCATATTCCCTTTCCTCGCAAACCTCTTCCACCGATCCGCTCCACCCCTACCTCCGTCCCAAAAGGCGGATCTTCTCCGCGTCCTCCTTCTTATTGCCTCACTTCTAATCCTCAACCCTCTCACCGACGCAAGTAAAATCTACCATACAATCCGAGGACAGGACACAATTAAGTTATATGTTATTTTCAATGCTCTAGAGGTATGTTGGCCATCTCAAAAGATTTTTGTTGAGCTCATCGATAGTGCGACAGATTGCAGATCGACTGTGTGCGTCCATTGGGCAGGATATTCTTGACTGCTTGTTTTCACGTTCGACACTCGAGCCTCTCTCACACCGAGTACCCGTGTCAACCGACACTATCAGGCCATTCCTGTTTTTCGCACTAGCACTAGCCTACAACGGTATGTAAGATATCTTTCTTCAAACTGTCGCAAGTACTTATTTCGCTCCAGTGGCCCATGCTCTTGTCATGGTTTACCAGCTCATATCACTCAACGTTGCCATCAACTCATACGATCATGCTCTCCTAACCCTTCTGGTCTCTAATCAGTTCGTCGAGATTAAAGGAAGTGTCTTCAAGAAATTTGAGAAAGATAGCCTTTTCCAGATAACCTGTGCAGGTATGGGTACTAGACGAGGTTCATGAGGCGTCAACTGACGGCTGTTCATGAGGTTAGACATCGTTGAACGCTTCTCCCTATCTCTGATGCTGGGAATTGTTGCTTTCCGCAATCTCATCGAGCTGAGCGGTAGCGAGTTCGACTTTTCGTCAGGTTTTCCTCTTCCAAAGAGCTTTGGTTGGTTTAGAGGAAGCAATGTTGTCTGGGTCATATCATATGTAAGTGTCGCTATCATCACATTTTCTATAACTGACAAGACGCATATAGCCAGTTTTGACAGTCATAGTCTCCGAAATGCTCGTAGATTGGTTGAAGCACGCATTCATCACAAAGTTCAATCACATCCGACCATCGGTTTACGAGCGATACATTGACGTTCTCTGTCGAGACCTGTCCAGCATGAGTGCCGTCGGACGACGCGGTCCCCGCAAGGTAGACACTCAGATTTCATACTATTGTTGTTGTGCGAAATGAACCTGATGCTAGGCTGATAGCACTCCTACGTTGATCAATCTCCCCTTGTTGCCCGCAGGCTAGGGTTCGCAGCACTGCCCTTGGCAGCGCTGGTCATTCTCATTGGGTCTCAATCAATAGCCCTCATGTTCTCCTCCAGTTATGACTTTACTCTGCCGTGGAAATGGACATGGAAGATTCGTGCGCTCAGCAACGCGGAGATCGTTCATTATGCAACATGGATCATTATGGGGTTCCTGATCTGGCTCTGGTTAGTCCAATTTTCGCCTCAGTAATGATGATGGCTGACACCTCTCGCAGTTGCGTGGTGGTGAAGATTATCATGGGCGTAAATCTAGTGAGCTATGCGACTCGTCGTCGGGCTGGTATGGAAGAGCGGGAGGCAGCAGATGTCGTCAATGACTTTGGACGGAATCCGATCGGAGAAGGAAAGGATGAACAAGTGCGTTTTGTTCTACCTTTCCGCAAGTGCCCTGTTGATGTGCTGTTTAATCAGACTTATAACAAGAAGCTGAAGACATTGCTGGACAACGACCGCGACGACGTACCTCTCATGTCCGAAATGGGAGAAAACAAGCCTGGAGAGAACAAGAAAGGACGTGTTAAACTCGAGGATCTCACGCGGTACACGATGGTTAAACGGATATGGTAGTGCATTGGGGCAATCGTGTTTCTTGTGTATGTTTATCCCTTTGTCCAACCCCGTTATCGTTCGATTGTGACCATCTAGAGCTAATCAGACAATGACGGTGGTCCTCGTCTCAAAACTGCTCTTTCCAACTGTCTCGCCTCTGCGTTGTGCGGGACTAGCATTTGTGGGATCTGGGAGCAATGAAGCTGCGTACTGGGAGGGCTTGTCCACGGTGACGAGAAGCCGGTTGTACCAGGACAAGAATCCGCTAGTCCCAGGTCGATTGCCTTGAGGCCGAGGACTTAGCATTGCCTCTCTTCCCTTTCCCTGGATCAAACCTACCAAGGTCCTCCAAGCCAAGACTGTAGACGAGCTTCACCCACCACCTGAGGCTTGCTTTGAGTCTGATCTACAGCCAACATGCAGTCATCGCCGCGTTCTTCCGCTCAAAATATTTGTGACCCACAATTGGGGCTAACTGCGGACTCAGTGGAGAGCGAGTTTGATCGGTCTCCCTGGCTATTTACGCGACGGTACGCGCTCCGCCTCCGCCTCCAAACCAAATTTAGCGCGGCAGCTACCAAATGGCACTCCGGACAGTACAGCCCTACCCTCTTCCGAGGTGTTGTGGCATAAGCTTTTCTCAAGGCCGGACCCACTCCGCAGTTTCGGGGGAATCTAATCAACGTGGGTGGCGTTCCCCCTGGACGGCTATTCCTGCATCGATTCGCACATTCATTCTTTGTCCACAACCACCACCATCCACATGCCCTTCTTCTCTACCCTCTATCACCCTCGCCTGGTTGTTGCGACCCTTGTCGTGCAGCTTGTTGGGTCCAAAGCAGCACCACAAGCCCGAAGGTTAGTGCCTCGTCAAGATATCATCGGCACCGGGATGAATTTATTGGACTTTCTAGGTCGCTTTCTCGACGTGGCCGTGGCGATGGCGACAGTGACAGTGATAGTGACAGCGACTCGGATTCGGATTCGGACAGTTGTGTAGGCAATGTGTGCACCACGAGTCGTTCGTCAAGGACGAGGTCATCGACTATGTCCAGTACTACAAGTTCGACATCCGCTTCCAGGTCGTCCTCCATTACCTCGTCGTCGAGCTCGACTTCGTCTTCTGCCACTATTACCTCTTCGGCCAGCAGCAGCAGCCCCTCCGCCAGCGCGACAAGTTTGATCTCCAATTCCAATCAGCAAAACAGCGTCTCGCACTCTGGCATCACTGTGGGCGGGATCGTGGGCGTTGCTCTTGGCTCTGGTGAGGTTATTTTGTTACGTTATTTCCGTCAAGCTCCCACTTATCTATGTTTCGTAGCCATCATCCTAGGCCTGGCGCTGATGCTCCTTGCACACTGTCGAAAAAGGTCCCGCAAGGCACGGAAACGTCCTCAAACCTTTGCACCATCTTCCTTCCTCATGCCGACTCGCTCAAGGCCTCACACCCCAGAAACAGAAACATCACAAGCTCAAACCAGTCCGCTCATTGCCCCAGTCATCGTAGCACGCGCCATCTCGAACTCAAACCAACAAGCTTCGCACAACTCCACTCGTTCCATGTCCGACACCCCTCTTCTGGCTGAGAACGGACTGCGACCCTCTCGTAGCGTCGGCAGTTCCTCACAGCGGCGACCCTCTATCAGCGACACTGCCAGCACTGTTCATGAACCTTTGCAGTCGCCCTACGAAGCGCCGTCGTCCTCATGGGTCGGATACAATTCCTTCGATCCAATTAGCGCGGTAGCGCGTACACCCTCCTTTGGCTCATTTCCACGCTCCTCTTCTACGGATCCCTTGGACCTCCATCAGACCATGACAGCACACCAAAAGGCTCTTGAAGCTGATCAGAGGGTCACCGATATGGGCCAACTGCGTGTTGTAGATGCCCACGACCCTCCACCCGGATACCGCCTTTGATTTCTCACCGATCCACTTTTTTGTCTATACCCCTTCGAAGGTCGTACTTGATGTACTTATTTCTTTACGATGGGAGGTTACGCCCCTGGGGCTAATTTTACGACACGGACTTTAATGGACAACGGACTACTATTCGTAGCGTAAAAAAGGACAATGGACGCTAACAGGACATCGCGCACAACTTTCTCTACACCCTTCTCACCCGAGCTCGAACAGAGTTGAAAACCTTCCTTGCCATATACCGCACTAACTGCGCATATGGAGCACAAGGACTGCCGTCCCTGATTTTGGGTGCCAAGATGGGGCATGGTGTGACGTACGCGCGGAGTAGGAAGGCTGTGGTGGGGTAAATCTTCATCGTCGAAGGTCAGAAGGTCAGGGTTCTCTTCGTGCATGTTCACGAGGCTGATGTCGTCTTCGCAGACTGCATCGGCTTTGAATATTGAAGGTTGAATCAGAAATCAGCAAGGAGGCATTAATTTTCTTCTTGGGAAAAACTCCCACTCAACAGAGTGACAAACTGTGAGTAATATAGCAACTGCTATGTAAGTACTTAAATGCTTTCTCCAGACACGGATGCTCGCTCAATTTTACATGTTGTCGAGACCAAAGTAAATTTTGTAGTGGTCGAGGAATCAAATTGCGGATAGAGTTACAAGAGAACCATTGTTTTCAGTGTTTTTCAGACACGCACCTCTGGGTCGGCATACTTCTAATCTCGAAAATTGTAGCTCTAGCAGATGTGGTGATCCAGCAGGTTGAAGGTCACCGACACAGGGCTGGTTCGAGAAAACGGGTCCACTTTCCGAAGACAACTAAAGGTAATCGATTCCTGGCGGCTCAGGCGACTCGTACGCTGGTTCATTCGTGGGTCAGAATATAAATATGTCATGAGAAAGGGATTAAACACACGTCTTTTCCCGCGAGCCAGCAGCTGGACGAGAGCAGACATATCCTTTGCTCCGGTACGAGGGTCTCTCAGCTTCGAGATCATCTGGCCCACTTCAGACTCTGTTAAGTCATCCTCGTCATCCTCGTCCTCCTGCTCGGGGTGTGCGATATCATCTATATCGTCATGAATAGAAAGCGTCTGCGAAGCCAGGGCAGTGACGTCCGGAGAGGTACTAGTTGAAGCCTGTCCTGAGCCTCTGCCAGAGGGTGTATTCGCCTCGATTCCAATATCCTGAGCTGATCTTTGGTCGTAAGCCGCGAGTTGAGGTGGGACCGTCGGCTCGAAAAAGATCTCGGAAAGAGTAGCAGTGAGAATTTTGTGGTATTGTTCAACAATCGCGGTCCTCGGGTAGCCAGGCGTGTTGCACGCGTGGTCGATTTTGGATTGAGCATTGATCAACATTGCGAGGATCGAGATTACCTTCTTCGGGCGTACGCAGAGTGACATGTAAAGAAGGAGGACGCTATACACCGCCCGCATCTTGCAAACAAGAGCCATTCTTTTGCACATAATACATTTTCCAAACACGACCGGAGCTGGCGGGAGTCTGACCAGAATGTACAAGCGGCGGATTCGTCAAGATCGGAAGAGGCTGGTTGTACGGAAGCAGCGCCTGTGGGTGTAGAACGAGAGCCTGCCATGAGATGACTCCAAAATCACCCTTGGAAAGCTGACGAGGGACAGACTTCCTTTCGTAGTCAGTCCTGTTCTGCCAGCCCCGGTTCGCCGATTGTAACACCCCCTTGATTTTCTGTAGTTGCTCTAGAGGAGGCACGAAACAGATTGTGCCATAAACGTCCCAATGGCGGTGATATGACCCTTCCACTAAGAAAAGAGTTATACAAAATCTCAGAATAAGCTATAGCTCACGTACATAAAATGCCGTTGGCGACCCCATCAAGTTTAAAGGGTTCAAGACCGTCGAAACAAAATTTCGTCAAGAATTCCTCCTATGAGTCGAATGAGATACACTTTTTCGCGTCGGGAGCTGCTGCTCACGATCTCCTTAGCCGTAGTTTCGTCCTTGCGTGAGTGGGCTGCGTTCACGACGTGGCATCCTTGTAGATCCGCATTGGGCGATCCAGTAAAAAAGGAGAACTGGTCGCGACGTATGAGCGAGTTTCTGAATTGCTTGTCGTCCGTGGGTACAGTATAAGATCTTGGCGAAGAGGCATGAGAAGTCGGGGTTGGGGGCCGTAGAGGGAAGTAATGTCGTGAGGGTGATATGTGGATTTGGTGGCAGGTGCTTCGTCGGGGCCCCAATCTTCGCGTTCGACATTTCGTTGCTTGGTTGATGGAATGGTTCAAAGCTCATGTTCCGGCGATTGCCGATTTATTACTGCAAGGGCTGTTTTAGGGGCTAGTAGTACTCCTCTCTTCTCCCTACATGGTCAGTAAGGACTGCAGTGTCGACTTCGAAGCATGGAATGGTTTTAATGTTGCACCATAGCCACAATTATTTCTACAACCTTTTCCCTCTAGCTCGAGCAGATTCTACGTAGTCGGAAACCTTCCCCGCCAAATACCTTACCAACTGCGCATATGGAGCACAAGGGTTACCGTCCCCGAACTGGGGTATCGAGATGGTGCATTGCGTGGGGTACGCGGAGCAGGTAGGGGATAGCAAATCTTCGTCGTCGAAGAGCAAAAGGTCTTGGTTGTCTTCGTGCACATTCGCAGCACTGACGTCGTTTTCTTCACAGGCTGCATCGCCATTAAACGTCGAATCAGACGTCAGAACAGAGACAGCCATTTTCTCCTCGGATTGGACACTTGTCAGGATCTCGATCTCAGCTTTGCGACGAGTATGCAGCATGTGCTGCAGCTCCTTCCTGCAAACATGCGTCAGACTGCAGAACGGAGCAGAACGGGAGCGCAAGATAGTTACTTCCACCTCCCCGGTAGAGGGGTGTCTGTTCGTCGCAGCATCGAAATTGCCTAGAGCAAGAACATGAACAAAGGCAGAGGTCAGAAGCTCGAATTCTGACCTTCTTTTCGTCGTGCACTGTGATCGGGAGGAGACACCCCTTGTCGATTCCGAGGCTAGGGAATACTTGGATCTCTTTCTCAAATTCTAGATTCGCGGAAATCGTACCTAGCAAGTTCGCTGGCCAAGATTCCAACCCACTTGATTCTTCTGGCGGCCAACTTGTCATTCTCGTGCTGCATTCCCTTGCTGCCGTACTTGTAAACAGACAAGATATCAAGACCGTAAGGATCGCCGTCCACTAGGCCGAGTATGGGTATCCTGTCGGGCTGATTCATGGAATCCCAAAGAAAAGACAAAGCGTGGTCTTACGTTGAAGGGAGAGCGTTTGCGAGGGACTTTACAAGATGTCTGGTCGCAACGTCGGGATAGCCTTTGCCCTGTGAGTGTCTGAGCCCAATGGAAGTTTTTTTGATAATGTGCATATGCGTACTGTTATGACGATGCCACGACCAGGCATAAGTTCGTGCTGCGATGTTCGCAGTCTACAGAGCGTTTGAAAGACAGCCTATAGGAGGTTGGAAAAAATGACTGGTGTCGGGCGAGAATCGCACCTCTTTTTCGACAACAAGGACCCATTGAACATCTTCCTCGACGCTGAAAGTTTCTATATCTTCTCCAGCCGGGATGAGAGCTCCCTACATCATGTAAGATGAATTTATGTCCAAATGAAAGAGGAATCACCTCGGTGTCGTTGCAGGAAATCGTGTCACCAGACAAGAGACTGATTGCGAATCCGGATCCGCATACAAGTCCCTTGGAAGACGATCTCTGGAAAGAAATCAGTGCAACTTCAGCGAGAGAAGATGATAATGGTCACGATGTTCAAATCTGAGCGTTCAAGTTCAAACGTAGCCGCAAGGTCATCGACGAGCTTCGAGGAGGAAGGTCAGCGTGGCATGACGATAGAAAAGCAGAGGCGCACCCCGTCGACCACTCTCTGCGTTTTGAAAAGGCCGACGTCTTTGTAGTAAATGTCACTGGGAGGCGTTGAGTTGCAAGTGTAAATCGCATCTTGTCAAAATACCGTTTAGTTGCTGGAACGCCGCTCAAGGTAGCTTCATGAGCGAGGTCAAGGACCCGAAAGAGTTGCGCTGGCTATGATTGAGACAACGATATTCAAGGCGCATATAGTCACTCACCGAACGCTTTTGCGCTGCCTGTTTTGCACTTTCTAGGGTATTTAAGTGTTTTCGTCGACTGATTCCTATGCACCGGTTAGCTAATGGATGTGAGAAAAGGTCCGACTCACCCATCCTGATCGATCTTTGTCCTATCAGCGAGATGTAGCTCGATCCTGTAGTCGGCTTTGGATCGCTTGTTGTTGGATGTTGAGCAGTCAGAGTCGTCGCCCTTGTCCCTCAGGCATCCCGGGTTCGCTAGCTGAGTCAAGAAAGAGAGTACGAGATCCTCGATGCAGCCGACGACAGCAGGGGGTCTGTTCAGCTAGTTTAGACACTAGTAGCAACGCAGATGTGAAGCTCGCACTCGTCAGAATCATCAAGATGCATCGAAGTGTCATCCCAGTCAGATTCCTCGTCCATCGCGTCCAAGTCCTCGTCAATAAAGTCGTCGACACCATCAGGGGGAGGAGGAGACGGTAGCTCATCGTCAGCGTCATCCATGAAGATGTCGAAGTCAGAGGCTCCAGAGTCGCTGAACGTATCCATCAGGTATGGGGAGAATGGATTGTGACAGGTTGAGCAGGGGAAACAGAGTGTGACATGTATCACAGTGTGAATTGCGTGAAGAGTGAAAGTGGGCGTCTATCCAGAAAAGGCAGGTCGCCACACCGTGCTAGATCTTCCGACCTCGCGAGGCCTATATCTTTGCCACAAGACATCGGAAAGCCACGAAACTTGGTGGGATGGTGGAACTGACCATACTGGCCCCACTAATGCCTTTTCTGGGCGTTTCTGTGCTCTTCACAGGCCAAAAATAGCGTTCTACCGATATTTCTCCTCAAGACCCGTTTCTGGCCGATTGAGACCGTTTCTTGAGTTATAAATTTGATAAAAGTACTAGTAAGAGCAGCATGGCGCAGTGGAAGCGCGCGGGGCCCATATTCCCAGAAAAGGAAGGCTACCCCGAGGTCACTCGATCGAAACGAGTTGCTGCTAAGTTTTTTCAGTTTCACCTCCTATAACCTGAAGCAAGTATCCATTTAAGTGGGATTTTGGGGTGGTGTAGACATACATTATCATAGTTTTGGGACTGTATGGATTCCTGTTGCAAAGATTCTCCTCAAGAGTCATGTCTTTGTGTTTTTGTCATATTCTGTGTCTGTACTCTCATCCAACGTTCACGCTGTATTTTCAACACATATATGTATACCATATGTCGCGATATAACAGCTGATTTTATCTTGGGTGATTAGCCGACGCGGGAGCCAGGGCTCTGACTATACGGCTCTCAGTGAACGTCACCTAGTGGGATCTCCCTGTTCAGGCTTCGGTTGAGAGATACCGCAGGGCTTGAAATTTGGCTCCCAATGGACATTATTCAATATTGAATACCACCGGGGGATACTCATGTCTCGCTTGTCCAACGGGAGTCACGAGCGCACTGACCAAAACTTCGCCATGTCGTGGAGGAGCGCAATCACGTCGTACCGAGGTTCGGGACGGACACTCAAAATAGTTGACGCGCACGCAGTGAACTGATGAGCCAGCGTCAGAACTCAGCTCAGGAGACAGTGCGAACGGCCCAAACCAACCAGCTCGCAGCGTCAAACCAGTCAGAATTTTCAGATCCTTGTGAGCCTTTGCTTGCGCCTGCCGTAAACTTGTGGGCTCCTCGAAGGTGTGGAGTCGGTTCGGAAATGTACGTGGATAGCCTATTTCATCTCAAGTCAGCTAAATATTACACTGCTGAAGTGCACCCCACTTCTTGGAAACGCGCTTCCAGGGAGGAGCCGAGTCGAAGCGGAACTTTGTCGCAATCGGCACGGGGATTGGGCGCTAATGCAATGTGGAGAAGTGTACAGTAACCACAGTTGAAACATAGAAGGCGGGAAGACAAATGCCTTTCGTCTATCCGCAGCACTGACAGGGAAGTTGGAGAAGGTCGGAAGGCTGCTGAAGAAGAAATAATTGAAGGAAGGAAGCAGAAGCGAGGCAGAATAACGTTGTCGCACCCACGAGTGACAGAATTGGAAGACATACCTGCGTGATAAATGCACCAAATACGAGTAGGTCCACCACTCAAAGAGCGAACGAAGAGCGAACGAAGACTTCTAGAGTTACTGAAGCTCGCGTCGAGTTGTCGGGTTCCAATATATATTTGACAGGAGAAAAGGAAAATGGACATTCAAGCAAGGACGTCAAGACAAGCAAGGACGTCAAGACAAGATGGAATAGCAAAATAAGGATAGCACAAGGGAAGAAACAACGATCAAAAAGGCTGTCAAATGTGCAAATTATATTCTCCGGCCAGCGGCCTCAAGGCTGCACCTAACTCTCATCCATATCCTGCGAATCCAAGTTCTCTCCGTTCGCGATCAACTGCATAAGATGCTCGATCTTCGCCTTGTGTATCCGATAATGCTCTTGCCAGCCTTTCCACGGATGATGCGAATGCTGCAGAAGCGAAGAAGACCTGTCAGGAAAAAACAAACATGTCGACAATGAAACGGACATACCTGGCGCGCGAATGCCTGGAAGATCTTGTCCGACGTTCCGTCCGGCTTATGATAGAAATGCTTCGCGAGAAGGATGTCGTCGTCCTTGCTATATCGCATCTTCTTGTCCGGATGCGCAGGCAGCGGTTCATCCGCCTCGGAACGCTCCATTTCATGCTTGTGTCGACGCCAGAACTTCATCCAGGACGCTCGAGAGTGGTGTGGAGCCTGGAACACAGAGAAGAGCGAAGAAAAAATCAGCCTCGACAGAGAAGGAGATATTTCAAATACCCACCTTGGCAGCGACATCCTTCCAAAATGCAACCATGTCCAGCGTACCCTGGCTCTTTCTGTAATTCATAAATCTTATCAAGAACGTGACGTCCTCTTGCGTGAACGCAACACCCTTGCCAGTCGTGCTCCTGTACAATGCACGTGGCGGCGTCGGAGAGCGATTCCGTAAAGGCGCTGCTGCAGCTGCTGCCATGGCGGAGTTTATATCAAGGCGAGAGACATTGGGCGAGGGGTCCATCCGCGTCGAGGTGCCTTCTATGTCGAGGTTGAGGTCGTCCCCAAGTCCCGGCGACTCTGAGCGGTCATTGTTCATCGCATACCCGCCCAGCCGGATTTGGTGCTTATTACAGTACCGCCGCCACGAGTAGAACGTGTGGTGCGGCGCCTTGACTGCCACTCTCTCGCAGATCTCTCGCAGGCTGAGAACGAGGCATTGATCTTGGCAATAATCGATGTACTTCTTGAGATAAACGACATCATCCGCTGTGAAGAGGTTTCCACCATACGTGCTCTTGATGACGCGACTAGGTGGCGTCGGAGACCGAGCAGGAGGGTTGCGGTTCACCACCAAAGAGGCCGCTGGGGCGGCAGGAACGGGCTATTCGTAGTGTGAGCGTCTTTCAGATCGCGAAGTGACAGCAACTAACCTGAGTTCTCGTCCGTTTGCGACCACGAGTCCTCTCTGCGGGATCTGCGCCGTCGGCTGCACCCGAAGGACCAGCAATGGGTCCTGGAGGAAGCTGCCCTGAAACAGAGTTGGAGCCAGACGACTGCTCTGGGTCTTCCATGTAAGGTTGCTGGCCGTATCCCTGCTCGTACTGAAAGAAAGAAAAAAGTCAAAATTACGCCCAAATACCGTAAAGATGACAACATACTGCCGGATCATAGTACGGGCCAGGAGTAGGAACCCAGTTGTTCTGGTCCTCTCTGTACCTGTACTCGTACGCAGCAGGCTGCGCGGCCATCTCGTCGGGTGTGTTATACCCATCCCACGCATCATCGCGATAAGATTGCTGATGAGGTTGAGAAGGGGGTGGAGGCGGCGGTCGATTGAGATCCTGCGGATGTCCAGCACCAGGTGGTGGTGCATGAAGGTGAGCCTGAGCCGGCGCGATGGTTACTTGCCACTGTTGCTGAGCACCTGCCATCTCACGCGGAGGAGGCCCAGGCTGTGGTTGCATCGGTGGCGGCGCGTATACTTGGAATGGGTACGCGTGGAGACCTTGAACCGGTGGCATCCCAGGGTGTATTGGGTGTTGAGGCATGGGAGGAGGCGGCTGTGGCGGGGGATTTGGTGGTTCCTCGGGCTCTCGAGGAGTCTGATACACACTATTTGAACCGTTTGTCAGTGAGGAACGGAGAGTTTGTGAGGCAATGACCGACGTTTCCGTTCCTGTCACTTTGCACCCCGCCCAATTGGTGTGAAAATTGTGTAGTTGATTAGCCTTCACGCATTCTTGGACCCAACGCGCATCAAGGATAATTTTCCCTTTCTTTCCGGCATATTGTCTCCATAAGTTTTGACCTGAGGGTTTGTGTGGATCGACTACGAAATAGAAAAAAAAGCCGGTAAGAATTTAAAGCCATCAAAACGACGAGGCTTTGGCGGTACACAAGCAGTGAAATTGACGTACCCAGAATGTATGGGACGCCGCTATATCCTGGTGAAATGGTGCCCCCATGTTTCTGACAACAAATAGACCAATCAGTATGTATCCTGAAAGGCGGAGAAGCAATGAAGAACAAAAAGGGAATGAGTATAGCCTCCATCTGATATCTGAGGATCAGAGCCATTCTAGGTATTGCAGATGCACAAATGGTACATGATAGAAATCTCAAAGGAAAACCATTAGAAGATATTGGGCATCCGATTTATGGATCGTCTAGGAAGGGTTTGGACGAAATGCACTCTAGCAAAGATTGGACGAAAACACCTCTCGAGGAGAAACAAAGAGTCACTGGATGGCCATTTTCCTATGAAAATGGTTTTCGCGTCGCTTCACTCATTTCTTTGCCATACAGCGGTAAGAAGTCAATAGCACGGAGGACACAATGTGAAAAGGAAGAAAGGAAAGCCCATCCACCACGAATGAAGAAAAGTAAAAGTGTCAGACGACAAAAGACCAGAAAAGGTACCGAAATGGTGTATAGCTGGAGCAAAAATAGAGGGGGCTCCAGCTCGATTCGTGACCGCTCTCAACCGAGTCACCTGAGGCCACCGAGCTTTCGTCACAGCTACACGAGCGCCTTGCTTTATAGCAGTTACGAGATGTGCCAATAACACAGCACACAGTGGCCATAGCGGAACGCAGCACGCGGTACAGATCCAGTCAGGACCTGCCGATGAGTACTTGTCCACAAGGCAACACCAGGTGGGCACGCCGCGAGTGGCGGAGGCGCACATCATAGTCCCAGATGAGATGCTCGTCGTCTGCTAGATGTTGTGTAGGATGCCAACGGAACACAATCGACTTCAGCAAAGACCGCCGGCAGCGTCGGAAAGCTGGACTGCTGGACGAGTGCCACAGACCGCGCGGAGCGTCCCAAGCAAGGAAAGGTGCGCAACATCATGGAATGATATGCTCCTCCGTCTCCGATATCTGCCCAGCGCGCGATCTATGGAAGATGAAAGGGAAACTTACAATTATAAGCTGTGAGATCAACTCCTTATCCTCCACGTCCTTCTCGATGTACACGGCGAGGGCAGTGCCGAGCATGGGGTCAACAAAGAGCTCGGTGTTGATATTGGGGTCATCGTTATGGAGGTCATGGTTAGTTTGCGGTGCTGGTGGCGGCTGGGCTGCACGGCGGTTAGAAGAACGAGCTGGTGCCATGGGTCTTGCCCCAGACTGGTTTATTGGGGGAGGTGGTTGGAGTCCTGGTGCCACCAGAGAAATAGAGCTTATGTCAGCATCCTATATTCACACGCTCATGCTGTCGCCCCAGTTGGAACTGATTTTCCGAGTCCTATGCACCTACAAAACGTTCTCAATGTCTAGAAGAAAGCTGAGCTGAGCGCTGAATATCCACGTCGTCTAACCCACCCGAGATCCAGCTTGCCACGGGCCCAGGACTGCTGAAAATCACGGCACTGCTGAATCTGGAGAGGCGGAACGCCGTCTACTTGCACCCTTCGGACCTTCTGACAATACCAAATGACTGCTTTCCGTCCTACTTTCCACCGCTTTCTCTGTTCCACGAGACTGGGTTTTCATTTTCTGTCTACAGCCCACATACGGAAAGTCTCTAACTTTTTGATACTAGTAGCCTGCCGAGTCCATGATGATGGGAAACGTCTTGCTGAAGTGCTCCGTCTGTTGCGAATGCAGACTACCAAGATGAACCCCTGTCAAAAGTCCCCTATTCTCTAGCCACGATACGGACGAGAGCATACCAGAGTATGCCACGCAGGCAGATATCCCCTGACGCCGTTGTAGTAGACGAGCGCCTGTGCATTGGTGGTGCTCGAGTTGGTATAAGGACAAGTCTTTTGTCCACATGCCACCGCTTGCAATCGCCACAATGCTCTCGATAACGTGTTTTCGCGAGGTGATGCAGGGTTCTGCTCGCTGATCTGCTTTATCCTGCTCTACCGGGCTTCCCCGCTTTCTTGATCGAGCAATTTGGAAATTCACCATTTCTAAATACCCCGCATCCGCCTCCTATATCAGATCAAAACGACGAATCGATCGATGCGGGCTTTCTCTGTGGAATTTCCCTCGGAGGTGAAATTCGACCGTCGTCGAAACCCCGATAAACTTGTGGATTGCCGGGGTGTGTGACTCAACGCAGCAGAACGAATCTTCTAGTGTCAAGCGCTTGAAGTACAGAGAGCCTCTGGGCAACTCATTTGACACAAGATGGTCTCTGATTTGAACTAACTTGGACTTTGGACGAAACTTCTTTATCAGCGAGTCGCTATACCCGTCCTCGAAGACCCAGTCATCACTACATGCACTGTCCACTCTGTACGGCTTTTAAACGGCGCGAGACTGGTCCACGCAACTATGGGTGCATTGCCTCTTTTCGGTAAATCCTGAATCCTCCCAACTGTCTCCATCCCCAACTCGTACCCCGAAAGCGGTCCTTCCTGCCCTTGTTAATCATAGAATCAAACCAGGAGAAACGACTCGGCTCACCTCAAGAATTCCTCATCTCACCAACTCTCGCGTCTTCCCCGCTTCTCCTTCGAGGACTCGGCATTCGGTCGGGCGCGCCTGCACAACATTGCGTCAACCTTGATTAATCATCCAGGCCGATGCCGTATGGCTCACCGTTATTCCAGTCAAAAGTGACGTATGTATCCCAAGCGACTATCGATAAGCAGCTGGCTGAACATCAAAGATATGCGAAGGAAGGAAGTGCGGATATCTTGATATTATTGCATGCTCGTACCTATGCTAGTGACTCTGGGCCCGCCTTCGTAAGTGTTTTGGTATTGGTTGGACGGTCGCTGTGACGCAATATACGACATTTCCTGGGAGTTCTCGTGTTCGCGCACGCGGTGATTTTGCCGCCCAATGCGTCGGGAGAAGCTCGGCCGGAGATGGCTTTCGTTATAGCGAGACCGCCGGCGAGATGCCTGCTATAACAGTCAATCGCGCCATGTCACGACGGGAGCGCATCAACGCACGTTCTTACTAGAAGTCCCAGTCCACCATCGAACGGACAGTGAATCGACGTCTCGCCGCCGTTGTATTAGTAACAACCAGGCCTGGACAGCTTTTCGCGCTTCTGTACTCCTGCCAAGTAACCACTCCCGTGCAGAAATCACCATCAAGAACTTCCTTTACCCTGAGATGCGGAGGTAGGGATCGAGAGGAAGCAAGCCCCGAAGCTGTGTGTGAGGCTTCTGAGGTTCATTCATTATTCATATTGAATAGTCAATACGACGGGCATCAGGCAGCATGAGGCCTTTCGGCCCGGAAGTACCCCTAAGGCCTGAAGAGGAGATGCGCCACACGAAGTCGGGACGATCGTCGCTTAGGCCGAAAAGGACACAGTTGCGAAATCATTCGGTGAGGGTGGCTTATATTACGGGAATAACTCCCATCCAGCATCATCCAATACCGAATCAGACGATGGGACAATATTACTCACCTGGCTCCGCTCTTCGATGCCTCAGAGAAATCATTGGGCCCTCAGTTATGTAACGTTCTCATCTCCACTTTCGAAGTTGAAGTTCCCATGATTATCAAAGTGGCATCAACATAATCTCCTAGGGTGCCAACCTCCAATGAAGACCTAATAATGCCTGACAGCACCTTCGTGCGGCATTCCGTACTGGGTGATCTCCACACAAAATACACCACCATTGTCGGCCTTCTCCCCGAGCTAGAACCTTACAGCTTCTCATGCGCCACCGTCCGTTTAATATCCCTCTGAACCCTCAGGAAAGGGTCGCCTCATGCTGCCGAGGGGGCTGCGGACACAAACGCCTTTGTACCTCCCTACTTAAGCACGGCGAGTTATCTATTTTCCGCACCTATGTTCTCAATTCCCGGTCAGTCGGCGTATCTCCCCCCCTGCGCGGGGGGTGTAAGATCAAGAGGAAGAGCAATATAGAGCCATCTGAGTCGTACTTGGTCAATCCTACATTTGTCTACTCAGTGCTACAAACCATATTCAGTGCGGACCAAAGTAATCCTGCTCTCCAACCGCACCCGCCAATTTAATGGCACAGCTCCCAATCTATAGTGCAGTCGGCTTGGTATGCTATTTTTGCTCGGAGCACAGCGTGCATTGATCATGATCATGTCAAGACGGACTCTTCCATGTCAGACTCTGTCAGGCTCAACCCAACTCTGTCCTCGCGCGGGCTAGATGTCCTCTATAGATATAGATATCCATGTCATTAGAAGGTCCTGTCAGAAAGTCGATCTGTCATTGGTGGACGTGATTCGCTTTGACTTGGGATCTTGGACGGTTCTGAGCCGAACCGAGGGCTATTTCCGGAGGGTTGTTCTAGGATGGGGGCCGAGAGTCTGGAGTGGCTCGGACTGGCACGTTAACGTTGCGGGCGGGCGATGAGGTGGCTGAAGCTCGGGACTTGTGTGTTTGGGTGTTCGTGTACTTTGAAAGGTGCTATAATGGGAGAAGGAGCTTAGAGGGAATGTTCTGCTTCGTTGGGGGCGTTCTGGCCGGGGGTGGCAGACGCATGGCATGTCGTAGCACCGCAGTCTGACGGAGAAACCGTCAACGGAATGGCAGCGCTCCATAGAACTTCCTCCTTGCCGAAATTGACTCGGACTATGTCAAATTCCAGAAGGGATCCTTTCCCAGAACGTAGTTCCCGTTGTCGCTGTCGCGGTAGACACCATGATGAGTGGAATACAAAACGACATGGTCCAGTAGGGACCCTGATAATCGTCGACTCGAACGTCAACGTCAATTTCCAGTTCAACCTTCAAGTCCACTCCGACATGTCTCTCACTCATTCCAAGTCAGTATCCAAGCCCAAACTCAACACACTAGTCAACGGACCATATAGTGCATATTCTACTCGGATCGACAGCGCATGTCTGCTGTCCTCCTCTCCTTCTCGACCAACAAATTACAATCAATTATCACTAGTAGACGTACACGTCTGTTCTCAACGTTCAACGGCGATAATGATCACGTACGCGCATGCATTCAGCATACGAGCTGTCGCTGCGGGCGCTTCCAGGCCGGTCCAAGCGCTTAATTCTAAGCGAACACGCGATCGACGGGTTCGTCTCGATTTGACTCGCTCAGACCTATCATATCATAAAACCTCTATATCACGATTTTCCACCGGACGGGAGGAAGTTATTTGATTATAAGGTGTACGCATACGCGCACCCTACGCGCCGAGCAGCTCCATACCGCACGCGGCGCGAAGTCTTCCTCCGACGTCGACGCACTGTCGGAGCTCCCAAGTGCTTCTCTGTCGGTTTAATCATCCCAAACAGTGCTTCCAAACTGCCTATCACCCCTGCCTAGCCTTCTCCTCAAACGCTCAAACACGAAGCACCCAGTCGGCTTCCGGAAGGGATGCCTTGAGTGCCCGTGCGTCATGGGCCCCGCTGAATCAATTAGCGCGTGGGCCGGAACGATCAAAAGGACTGGGCCGTATACTCTATCTATTCTGTAGCGTATTGGGCTCGAGGCAAGGGGCTCGAGTCCGATCCGTCGTTGGCACTGATATCCCGTCGGATCGAAGTCAAAACGTGTCGGAAGTGCCTTGATACAAACTTGCTTTCAATTTGGGAATAGAGGTCCAGGAGGTCCATTCGTTTGGACTTGCATTAGATGGGCTTGGTCCTCTCAAAGTGGAGCTCATTGATTTATTGACCGTATTGAAGCTCGAAAGAGGACACCCAAACTTGAAGGAGATGGCAGAGTGATATAAGAATACACAAGCATCAGCTCCTCATCCTCATCATATTTCAGTGCAAGTTGGACGTCAGACACCTATCATGATGATGTGTAATGAATAGCACGTAGGGTGTATACGGGACAAGGGAGGTCCGAGCGCTAGATTACCGGCCGGCGACGGTCTCAGAGCGCGCGTGGCTAGACGCTGCTAGACGGCTTTCTAAAAATTCTGAATCCGCCTTCGCGGCGTGCGCATGTGTAGCGCTTAACGCCGTGAACGCCGTGAAACGCTGCTCTCTAAGCACGCACCGGCACGATTGCGATCGAGCGGAAATGTAGCACGCGCGATGTAAATATAATAGCCGCACTCAGACTGCAAAAGCGCTGGCCTCCCGCTTCAGACGCTTCAGAAGGCTTCAACATTCGGAACTCTCAGAGTCCAACCAAATAATTAATAAGCAATGAACAAAGGAACAACGGATGAATCCCAAAAGATAGTCCCCGCGGTCCAACTTGCCTCCATTGTTTCATGGCCGTATGCAAGCCGTATGAGAGTGAAGCGAACGCGCGTGCGCCGCACGATCGCGGCACGCCCACGACACCCGATGGCCAAAGCTGTGCTGGACGGAACACGGAACGATCGAGCCTTGGTCGAGCTCGAGGCAAGACGACTGAAATCGAACGCCCGTTCGCCGTCTCGCCCCAACGCAGGCCCGACTTCTCATTTTTTACTCCCGAGCCCCGAAGCGCCTCATTCGCACCGACGCGCGTACAATGTCGATGAGCATTGAATATTGAATTGTGGATAACCGCAAGCGCCCACCCCACAACCTCAGGGTCAAGGGCGTCGGACCCTTCAATTGAGCGCTGTGCACTTACCAACTTTGTCGGACCGGAGGACACTTGAGCGCCGGTGGGCGTAAGTGGATTTCGAATCCTATTGCCGACTCGGACTTGGATGTCGCGGTCTTTGTACTTACCTACGAGCGCCGAGCGCCGAGCGCCGTGCGGCGCATCATGATCATTGACGTCCCTGCCCTGCGCGTCAAGTAAGTAGATATCCTTTCTCCTTCGATTCTAGTACACCCACTCCAAGGGCAAAGGCACTCCAGGACGGCGCCAGTACTAGCTATAGCGCTAGCGCCGTCGGTGCAGGTTCACCTCTAACGTTATCTGATATCTTTCTACTTACTCACCCCGGCTTCCGGCTTCCGGACATATCTTCCCCACACTGCTCATCAACGCAGCGCCGAGAAAAAGGAAAGATAAAAGGTGATTCTCCAAGTACACGGGATCCTACACACTTTCTACCTCTTTCTACGCATCTCCGGCTTCCCGTATCTTCCACACTGCCCATCTGGCATCAAACGCACCGCCGAGAAAAAGGAAAGATAAAAGGACAGATAAAAGAGAGATAAAAGATAATAAATGAGATCGATAGCGTAGTCACGTACGCGTCCACCAGACCTCCTCTCACCTGCCCATGGCAAGCTGTATCAAAGAAGAAGGCTGCTTCTCAATTCAATAGAAAATAAGCGATAAATCCGATAATTGTCGATTGCGCAATAATATGGTAGGCACTCAGTACTGTACTTGTGTACGTAGATCTCGTACGTCGATATCTCAGTGAATGGCGTGCGCTTTGCACCGAGCTCGCCTTACTCTAGAATCGTTCACTCCCTCGGTCTGGTGATTTGAATATGTAGTGAGCACCGGGCGGTGGAATGTACCAGAAAATACCAGAAACCTAGCAAAAATCACGCAAAACTAGCGAAGAAAGGATGCGAGCTTCAGCTACTTCAGGATACGACAAAGCGTCCGTACTCCGCGAAATAGGCATGGACCATGGGGTACACGCCAAGGCCTGAGGCCGGTCATAAGCACTCTTTCGAAGCTCGTCGTTCATTCGGGTTGGCCTTCGAAATTGTTCAAATTGCGATTGGCAAGGAGAGAGTTGAAATTATCGTATATCGTATATCGGCAAGTGATAGTGCGCTCGCGATCGAATTTCGAAGACCTTCGAAATATCCCTTTCCTTCCTTCCGAGGTCTTTGAATTTGCGAGCGATAAGTACGGTGTATGTATGTATTATCATGCATAGAGTACTTATCGCCAGGATACCTAGGACGTGCGATGCCGACCGCCATCTTTTGCATAAGAAGGCCTTCGATTTCGATAAATTCTGGGGACTAAGTTCTGGGGATTAAGTTCTAGGGTTTTTTCTGGGAATTTCTGGGAATTTCGAACCTTCCTCGTGAGGACGAAACGTGTCTGTGGAGCGAGCGTGAACGCAAACGGTGTACGTTATGGATGAGAAAACCCCCACGAAACGGAGAGGGGGAGGGAGAGAACGCAAAGGGAAGAGAAGAATATTCCACTTCGTTCGAGCATATTCCGGCCGACTCTCATTCAAGTCGAATGGGTATTCGTCCTGCTACCGGCACACTATGCTTCGCAAGTCACCGGTATCTGAGCCCGTCCGCGTCACGTAGAGTAAGTAGTGTCCCGTGCAAACTGTCAATGGTTAAGGAAAGTGACCCACCTGTACCCATTTTGAGATGATCGACGCTTTACGGACAAGTCGAAGTGCGAAGGATCGACAGTCGACAGCGCTGGCACTGAGCACTGCAAGGCACTGCACCTGGACGGAACTCCGTTGGTTGTTCGCATTGACCGCTGACGATGATTCGACCAATGCCATCGATTTCGAAGCACACGCCGTAAGTCCTGCGTATAAACAAACGGCGTTCGCGACTCACACCGCCAGTGTCCCGTCGCGTGGATTCAGCTCGAGCCGCGGTTGGCGATCTTTGACCCGTTGACTTGAGAAGAGAAGGGAAGGAGGTAGAGGCGAGGAAGGCGATGCTTCGGGAGGTGCGAACACATTGAACGTTGGGCGTTAGGCATGGGGCGTTGACGACTCGGACTGGTGGTTGCCAACGTATGGCATTGGAGGAATCAGGATAGGCTCGGACCGCGGTCAGATGGTGCTCGAGAGTCGACACCCTAATTCAAGGAAGCATCGCCACTACTAGTATCACTCCTGGCTGTGATTGGGTATAGGTATGGGTATGGGATGGGATTTGGGCATGGTGTAGTGTAGAGTTCACAGTTCACACTATCGTCAAGCTGTTGATAGGTGGGACAAGACACTCCGGCACAACGCAACGCAAGTTACGCAACGGAAGACACTGAAATTGAATGACGTCGCCCACCGTGTCAACAAAAGTTCGCCCTCGAAGCACAAGTACGAGAGAACGAAGGAACCCGCCCGGCTGGGCATTGCGGCGTTCGCTGGATCGCTGGATGAATACAAGTCTTCCAATAGCGGCGGGCGGCAGGTGCCGTTAACGATGCAACCTTGAATACTTACGGCTGGATTTAATAGCTCGGCGTTGGTGTACTTGTAACGAGTCAGGACACGGTTGACGCGTATCAGTATATAGAGCCCGATCGGATTCGCGAGTACAGTAGCTGGGTAGTTGGTAGTTGGGGAAGTAGAGCAGTAGCACCGGCTCGGAGTCAGAAGAGGGCCTTCGCGTTCGCATTTGTTCCGAATTCCTCGACAAGTGGACGTGCGAGGAAGTTCCTTCGGGTTCACGCGAGGGTGCTGGGAAAGGGATACGCGGGCGATCCTCCGTCCGTTGGCAACGTTCAATTGCAAGATGACTGGGGAGGTGGGTGGGGTGGGGGCTTTGTTCCTAGAGTGGGTGGAGGGTGTGAAGGAGGGATGGGAGATGGAAACCACCTCGGGCATGAGGCAAAAGCTTGTTGGTCGTTGTCTCAGGAACTTGAGTAAGGAAGTACGTGAGGGTGAGGAGGGCAGCGGAAATAGCAGCGGGGCAGGGGCAGGGGAAGGCGTTCAAAGTTCACGCAGAGTCGGCCTCGGCAGAAGAAAAGGAACTCGTATATTTCAAGCGCGCCGGGGCCGGGGACGCTGGCGCGCGAATCACAAAAAAAAACATAGGTGGAAAAGAAAAAAAAATCAGAAGTCGGACTCGCAGAAGAGGGTATGATGGACAGGGTGGACACTTGTCCAGGGTCTCGTTTGGTGGGAGGGTACAGACACCGTGTGCCCAAAATAAAGATAGAATATAGATGTTCGCATCTCAGTTGTGCGATCTCACAGGTGCGAATCTTGGAATTTCGTGATGGTGATCTGGCGCGCCGAGAGGGGCAATGGGTGTCTGACGGGTTTGGGTTTAATAGCCTGCTGGGGAATGAATGAAGAGCGCGCGCGCTGTGGGTGGTCAATGGGCCCCCGGTGTGTGCGTTGAGAGGGCGGCGCGCAAAGGGACGAGCATAGTTGGAGGGGATTTGTTTGGCGGACCGGACATCGAAGCAGGATTTAGCGAACATACACGAGGGTCCCAGATCTGCCGGGATGTCGGGTTTCAGGATTGAGAGGCAGACCGAGGAATAGTGGTCAGTAAATAGTTTGTACGACGAGAGAGAGGCACTAGAAAGGCTTGATAGGGTGAATAGTGACGAGAGTAGACTCAAGTGTAGTACAATGGCGAGAATAAAAGGGAGAGGTTGATCAGGGGCGTGTTGTTTTGATTTGGCAGTCGGAGTTTGAAGCTGAGGGCCGCCAAGTTGGTTGGTCGTCTGCTCTCCACTGCACTGTCCTCGTATCTTCCCTTCCCTCCACTTCCTCCGCCCGCGAACACAATGGCCTCCGTGGCCGCACGCAAAAAGTCAATAGTATCAACAACAGGCCTCCACATCGACACAAACACCCTCCTCAACAAGGCCGCGTCCCAGTCCACCTCCCTCTACCAGCAGTGCTCGTCCCTCAGAGCTCGCCTCCTCCACATCCGCGGCTTCGCACACTACTTCTCCGTATCCGCCGCCCCCGACGCTCGCCAGTCCACCGACCCAGTAACCCAGCTATGGGACCTCTTCTCGACGGGCACGCCACTCTGCTACATCTTCGATCAGCTCCCCGAGGAGGCGGGGTTCAACAAAATAAACTACTCCTCCTTCAAGCCCGACCAGCTCGAGGCAAACCCAGATCGTGCAAAGAAGCATGCCATCGCCCTCTTCGCCATGCAGATCCGCGCAGAGAAGGTCACTCAGAACATCCCCGGCTGCGAGTCGTTCACCGTCACCGACCTCTGGGATCGTAACTCCACCGACGGTTTGGTCAAGGTCTGTCTGCCACTGCTCTCCTTTACGTTGTGCTCACCGCTCCGATGCCTAGGTTATCAATACCGTCACTGCCATCGTCGACCACCTGCCCGCGGACGCTTTCGATAACGAAGAACCGTCCCCCCGCACTCTCTCCCAAACCGCCTCATTCGATTCACTCACCGACACCCTCGCCACTCAACCCGCCAATGCCCAGGAGACGGCACGGAATAACATCATTAAGGAGATGGTGGAGACTGAGCGTAAATACGTGCAGGATCTCGAGATTATGCAGGTGCGCACCCCTCCCACTCACTCATCCCAATCCCCGCCAATCCCCCATCCTCCAGAAATACTCGACCGCCCTATCACAGGCCAACCTCATGGATCAGGACACGATCCACCTTCTATTCCCCGGCCTCAACAAACTCCTCAATTTCCAACGCAAGTTCCTAATCCGTCTCGAGAGCACAGCAGAGTTGCCTTGGCAAGATCAACGATGGGGACAACACTTCCTCGAAAGCGTGAGTCCCTCTGGCAGCCCATGTACTCGTTCTGGCCTTCCCATTGTCCGTTGCTCACCTCATGCCCTGATTCGCCATTATAGGAAGACGAGTTCATTGTCTACGAGCCCTACTGTGCTAATTATACGAACGCGACGGAACTCATGCTCGCCAACGAGCAAAACCTTGTAGTAAGTCCCTCTCCTCATTCCTGTCCCAGAAACGGGCTCTGTGGTTCGTTTCACACCGACTGCCACAGCCATCTCCCTGACAACTCTGGCTTGGGAAACTCCGTTCTGACCAAATATTTGCGCACAGCCACTGAACCACTTGATCAACGTCAAAGGCGAGCTGCCCGGTTTGCTCATCAAACCGATCCAGCGCATCTGCAAGTACCCCCTTCTCCTTGACGTACGTCGATTCCGTCACTGTTCGCTAAACCCTGACACACAACACGCTCACCTCCGCTCTAGTCTCTCATCAAAGCTTGCTCGCCAGCAACGTACCCTCATCTCGACGAACTTAAACAGGGATCCGATGCCGCAAAGCGTATCACCGATAAGATCAACGAGGCACAACGGCGCGCCGAAAACGAGCAAACTGTCAAGTCTCTCCATACCAGAATCGACGATTGGAAGGGCCACCATTTGGAGAACTTTGGCGAGCTCCTCCTCGACGACGTCTTCGTGGTGACCAAGTCCGACATTGATCGGGAATACCACGTCTTCCTCTTCGAGAAAATCATCCTCTGCTGCAAGGAGGCGATTGCCCAGCCGCCCAAGGGCGCGAAAGGCGTGGCGAAGAATGGCTCCATCCTGAAGAAGCAGCTTGCTCCTCCGCCTCTTGCGCTCCCCGGTGGTGTTGGTACACCACAGAAGAACACCCCCCTTCTGCTCAAAGGCCGGATCTTCCTCGGGAACGTCACACAGGCCGTCCCAGTCCCTGCCCGAGCCTCCCCAAGTAAGTTTTTTCCCTTGTTTCGTATTATTTCCGGTTTAACTGAACAATGATTTCTACTTCTAGCGATCGGTATCCCCACGCATTATCCTCTAGCCGTGTGGTGGAAGGGCGATGACGATCTCGAATTCTTCACCCTGCGCTGCCGACGCGAGGACCAGATGCGGCAGTGGGAAGCGACCATCAACCGCCTCATCAAGGAAGCAGCCCAGCGAAGAGCGTCGGAGCGCACCGGCGGTATGGCGCGCCTCATCGCCAACAGCACGAATCCGGCCCCGCAAGCGCGTATCATCAACAGCCTCTCCTCGCACTACTCCGCAGGCGCGACCATGTCTTCCTATTCCCACTCATCGCAGTCGTCCACGAGCAACCCTGCCATTCGCCGGCATCCCAGCCAGTACAACCCCCACGACGACTACATTGGCAGCAGCAGCGGCGCGTACAGCGCCGGTCCGCAGGGATACCCACCGCACGACGGCTTCGACGTCGATGCAGACGACGAGGACCTGGAGGATTACCCCCCGGCGTCGCAGTATGGGTCTTCGGGCCGGGGCACGCCCATCTCGCGCCGGACGCCGAACTCGCTCAGCATGCCGCCCGAGCGCGAGCCTGCGGTGGGTGTGGGCGGGTACGAGCGCCCGAGGGCGCAGACGGAGAGCACGGACGGGCCGGTCATGGCGCAGTGGCGCTCGACGAACGGCGGGCTCCCGCCGCTGCCCTCGGGCTCGCTGCAGTCGCCCAACGGCGTCCTCCGCCCGATCACGCCGCGCCTCACCTCGAACATGAGCGCAAGCAGCTATGCGTCGGACGCGAGCTTTGGGAATGGGATACCGCCCAAGTCGAGTCGCCCGCCGCTGCGCAGCCAGTTCAGCTCGACGAGGTTGCGGAGCGGGTATGACAGCCCGAGTAGCGGTGTGGGTCCGTCGGCGGCGAATGATTATAGGAACGGACGCTCGGCGACGCCTACGCTGAACGCGAATGGCAGTACGGGGAGCAACAGCAGCAATAATGCGACGCTGACTGCGCCGCCGCCGATGAATAGGTCGAGGAGCGCGAGCCAGCCGAGTGCGTACGTGCCCCCGACGAAGATGGCCCCGCCGCCGCCGCTGCCCAACCCCGCGCACCAGCACTGGAACCGCGAGAGGGAGCACCGCCAGCCGAATGGGGTGCCGGTGGGAGTAGGGGGGGTGACGAACGGCAAGCGCGGGAGCGGGTCGAGCCAGTCGACGGGCGAGAGCTCGGACTACTCGCCCAACAGCTCCTCGCCGATCACGCCGTTCGGGTCGAGCGAGTCGTCCCTCGGCGGCGTGGGCGTAGGCATGGGGGCCATCCGCCACTCGCGCTCGCGGGACTTTGACGGTGTCGTCAACGGCCACGCCAACGGCCACGCCAACGGCCACCAACACCAGAACCAGCACCCGCCCTCTCCGCCCGTCAAGGTGAAGGTGCACTTCCACGAAGACATTTTCGTGATCCAGGTACCCCGGTCGACGGAGTATGGCGATTTGGTGGAGAAGGTGGGAAGGAAGATTAGGTTGTGTGGGCCGAGGAGGGACGATGGCCCTCTACGTGTGAAGTACCGCGATGAGGATGGAGACATGATCTCGCTGGGATCGACGGAGGATGTCCAGATGGCGTTTGAGCAGTACAGACCAGGAGGGCAGGTCACTCTGTTCGTCACATGAGGACTGGCTACTGTCCTTTCCTTTGGCATTCGTCCTGGTCTGCTCTGTTCATCTTCGTTCGCTGCTGCTCGCTTTTTTGTTCATCCTTCCATTCGTTCCCATCTCAGCAATTATCTCTCGCTCGCTCGCATTCTTTTTCGTCATTCATCGCAACAACCAACAACCAACAATATGCATTTTACTCATCTTTCAACAATTATCACACACATTACACACCATCCACTCCTATGTACGCTCCTCTCTCGACTACGCCCCCACGTCATTCGTCAGAAGCCGGTTCCCCACCCAACACCCACCTACAGTATCTCTCCGCATCTCAGCCACGCGCAGTGGTTCCGGATCGTCACTCCTACATTCGTTCCATTATATTGCCCTGGCTCCTATGTACTACTGGCCTTGCCCTCCCAAATTGACTCTCTCTAAACCACACCGCCCTTCGTTCTCTTCAATATCTTTCCGACCCCTTCGACGTTTTACCTAGTCAGTCGTCGCTCCTTTTATTGAAGAGGCCTTATAATCGCACACATACAACACCGCTCCTTACGCGTTATTTCCTCCTCTCTCTCAATCTCTCACTCCTATGAAAGACTCTCACCGTATATATATTTACTTTCTCTCTGTCTCTCCTCTCTGTCTCTCCTCTCGTGTCTCGTTACGTACCTATCTAACTGTTATTTTTTTTTTGTTTCCTCTCCTTGGATCATTTGCCCTGGCAAGGCCGTACTGTGTGTTCATGGAGGAATCACTGTTTTTGTGTAATATCAATAGAGGAATGCTACGGTTTCGAAAACTCACAAACATCTCTGACCCAGTTCACTCTCGTTGCGAACCGCCTTGTTCTGGAATGCAGGGCCTGCGGAGGACCCTCTGAAAGTGAGGGTGCACTCCCGAAGAGGTCGTGAGTTGTCTCCGGCCCTCCGCCAAACCCTTTTCGTACTTTCGGGATGGCTACGATCACCCAGGTGATCATGTCGCGTCAAGACCCAGAACGGTAGCATACAAATTCCCTCAAAAACACTTGATTCATGGAGCTTCGGAAGGGACACCTATTTATTCGACATATCACGATCGTGATCAGAGATGGGTGGATATTGGGGTTCTGCTCTACGTAAACTGACTCTCCACCCTTCTTGCTTCCGACTAGGACTGGGTGAAGCCTACGATGCCCGTGAAATTATTGATAGGACCTTTAGGGAAAGTCAGACTAAGTTTTCATCTCCTA